GACAATGTGATCATCTCTGACAATGTGATCATCTCTGACAATGTGATCATCTCTGACAATGTGATCATCTCTGACAATGTGATCATCTCTGACAACGTGGTCATCTCTGACAACGTGGTCATCTCTGACAATGTGATCATCTCTATTACAATCACGTCGATATGAGGCCAGTTCCTCCAATTTAAGCAACATATCCGTATCCAAGTCCAAACCCCTCGCCTTAGCGATCAAAAGTACCAAGCCATCCTTGTTCAACTTATCAATGGACTGTTTAACTTCTTCATTATCAACTGTCCAGTAAGATTCACCTGTCGATTCATCATGGAAGAAGTGATCCCCAAGATTCGTTATAACCAATGACCATTGTGGAACCAGCGGTATTCGAAACAAGGGTACGCTTCCTTGATTGTCCCTCTCTATAATTGGTTTGGTATACGTGGATTCCTTCGTCACCGCGTTATAGTAGTACTTATGCCCTAAAAAGCCGTATGTTAGTTGGTGCCATGGGGGCGAAAAACAGAAGAAATCTCAACTGCTTCAAGAAATCACGTCATAACGGTAAGACTCACCGGACGGAGCAACGTGAGAGGTCCAATTATCTGGCAAGTGTTCCATTGGTTGGCCTCGTGTTAATCTGGTTTTACTGGTTTTACTGGTTTTACTGGTTGTCATCCTTGACCATATTGAAAACGAGTTCGCGAAACCCTTAGAAGAAAACTTCAACAAAGAACAACAAACAAACAAACAAGCGCACAAACAAACAAGTACGCAACGAACATCAACGGACGAGCGATACAACAAGCGCCGCAATGGGATCAAGAAGATACGATAGTAGAACAACGATCTTCTCTCCAGAAGGCCGTCTTTATCAAGTGAGTTTCTATAGTCTATGTCATATCCTGAAGGTGGCATCCGATGGCGGGCAGTGATATGTATATACACGACTGGTGGCAAAATTGAAATCACAATGAACTAACTCCCAAGTCAGGTTGAATATGCGTTAGAAGCGATTTCTCATGCCGGCACCTGTATAGGAATTCTTGCGGATGATGGTATCGTGCTGGCTGCTGAGAGGAAAGTCACTTCAAAACTTTTAGAGCAGGATTCCTCCGCTGAAAAGATCTACACGCTAAACGACAACGTTATAGTTGCAGTTGCTGGAATGACATCCGATGCAGGTATATTGATAAACAGCGGACGTGTGCAGGCCCAATCGTATCTCAAGACGTACAACGAGGACATTCCGGTGGAGATGCTGGTTCGCCGTTTATGTGACGTTAAACAAGGCTATACACAACACGGAGGGTTGAGACCTTTTGGTGTATCCTTCATCTATGCAGGCTATGACGACAGATATGGCTTCCAACTATACACTTCAAACCCATCGGGCAATTACTCCGGCTGGAAGGCAACCAGTATCGGCGCAAACAATGCTGCAGCTCAGACCTTGCTTAAACAGGATTATAAAGATGGAATCAACTTGAAAACAGCTTCAGAATTGGCCTTAAAAGTGTTGTCAAAGACAATGGACTCAACCTCTTTAACAAGCGAAAAGATTGAATTCGCAACAATCTCAAGAGATGGAAAGGGAGAGCTAACACAACGTGTTTGGAAGCCAGCAGAGATTGACAACTTGTTAAACGAATCCGGTATCGTCAAAAAAGATGATGAAGATGAAGAGTAGTGGATATATATATATATCTATATATATGATAGTGTTGAACCCTTACGTAAATTGGAAATAGGCTAAACAAGAAAACATAAAAACACAAATAATCTAAGGATACACAATTCCGGCAAAAAGGGTGTATGTCCCCTTCTTTCGTTTTGAAGCTAACACTTTATACAGGATGGAGGGAAAAGACACACATAAAGCTCCATTTCCTCAAAACAAAAACAACCCAATAAAAGTACATCACAGTGAGAACTTGGAACTACGACAGTTACCCGTCAAGATGTTTTTTGGAGTGTCATAACCAGCATCTTCCCACAAGGTATAGTTGGCATTCCAGTAGGCGGCTCTGTGGTTCATGATGTAGTCATAAGTTGGATGGTCAGATGGATCACAAGTGACCTGATTCATACCCTCAGGTTGATAAACACGGACGTAATCAATTCTCATGGTTGAAGGGAAAACAATTGAAGCCCAATCGATATAAGCCCAGTTATTTGAAACTCCCAAGTTTAAAATTATTGACATTGGTTCTTTAGAAATTCTTCTCCAATCGACATTACCGTTTGGGTGTAGTGCGGTGGCGTAGATAGTATAAGTTGGATCATCACCAACAAACCATGTACAATACCCATCGTCATCATCATTTCGGTACTCAAATCCATATTTTTGGAAATAAGGACCTGCGGTGTCTCCCAGTTCATACCATGAAGTGTTCAAAGTAGACACAGCAGATACAGCCTGCTGGAATGGACCACCTGCATAAGTATTCATAGCCGTCACTGTGAAGTTGTAAATTTGAATAAATTCATAATCTGGCATGTACCAGATGTCAAATGGTGCAATTTGCATAGACTGTGAAGCAGTTCCAACTCCCAAGGTAGAATCAACTGCACCTTCAATGACATCTATTTCAGGTGCACCTCTACCAACACCTTGGTTTGGATGGTCTTCACCGTCACAGGTACATACACTCAACCTCTGGCCTGGAAGATAGCTGATACCATCATGAGATGATTGATTGGCAGTGATACCGGCATCACACGCTTCATAAGTGTATGGCCAAACACCATTAGTTGAAGCCAAGTATCCAGGTCTACCTAAATTTCCCATTGTCCAGATACCTGGCCATAATCCAGTAACATTACCAAAATTTGGTAACATTGCAGACACCTCAATCAAACCTTCTGTGAAGCACATCTTATTCCAAGACTGAAGCATACCTGATCTGTAAAACAAATTATGATTTTCGAATGCATCCATTCTCAATTCCAAATAACCATTTGTAGTTGTTGCGGCATCAGGGTCGTACCATTCTAAATCATTTGTTGCAGCATAGTGGATATTGACAGCTTGCCAGAATTGATCATCACCATCGTAAAACGTACGACCTTCAGCGTTAAATTCATCTGAAAATACCAAAGTCCAATTGGTCCCGTCATTTGCCAATCTAGTGAGTGCACTTTCAGGCGTATCCGGATCAACCAACGACGTTCTAATAGCACTCAAAGTTTGGTATTGGTATTGCGTTAAAACTTCATAAACTTGTGTATTTGAACCATGAGTAGTTGCTCCTGTATATGTTAAGGCAGGAACAATAATGAAAAGCGCTATTGCACCAAGAAATAGAACGATAAGACCTATCAAACCACCCGTTGATCTCTTGTCCATATTTTTGAAATCGCTCATGAATCTATGCTTATCGGCATATGCATCTGCGATTGGATCAGGGTTATGCAAATAATCATCTGGCTCCTTTTCATCAATGTGTAGGGGAAACGAGGATGCAGGGTATCCACCAAATGGACTAAAGTCGGCATCAACCAAGAACGGATTCGAAGAGTTTTCTGAAATTTCGGACGTTGACAATTGCGAAGATAGAGACCCCTTCTTGTTATGACCCAATAGGTTTGTATTGGAGTTCGTGGAATTTGCCATGGATGTTATTCTTGAATCACGCCCCATGGATGGATATCGATCATATTCAGGAGGTGAATAGATATCGTTGTTTAGATTTGGCGAGCTCTGTCCGATTCCAGATATGTTTGAAGATGAGTAAGAGTTGTAATCGTTCTTGCTGAGAGAATTCGAAGAGCCTTGTTGGCTGTAGTAGCCGTTATAATCGATAAACGGTTTTGCTGGTCTCTTTGAAGTAAGATGCGTGGTGGAGTCCTCACTGCTGTTTGTCAATGAGCTCGATTCCTCTTGCAAAAATGGGTTTCTTGGTTCCGAATCATCGGAATCACCGCTGTTGTTGTTGTTCGCCTGAGGCGAGCGGTCGGTCAAATTTCTCGTAGACATTTAGCTCAGTGCAATCAGAGAGAGAATGAGATCAGTGATATGTGTGTACACGAGAGGGAAATCAGTAGTTATGGATAGTAGCAAGGAGCCTGAATCAGTGAAGAACGTAAAAAAACAAACAAATGAACAAAGGGTACAGTTGGCGGTTAACACAAAATGCACCGAAATGGCTTCTTCAACACAGCGCTTGCTTCAGAGTAAGCGAATCGCAAGAGAATGAGTTCAAGGCTATCGAAAAGATATAGATTCTCCCTATTTGTGCTGTCTATTGAACACGTGAAATTGATAGTTTGCTATCAGAACTCCCAAACTTGCAAAGCCAAAAACGACAGAAAGGAAAAGAAAAAACAGCCCCTTCCAACGGGAAATGAAACGGTGCAAAATCACACAAGGGAAGATGCTAAGGCTCAAGAACGGTAGAGAGACAACGGGCAACTGAGACGTTTAATGAAGGTAAAGCACACAAGGGACAAACGCTTGTTTCAATGAATGTGAGCTTCAAGACTGGGATGATTTGTTTTGTGTTGAGCAAATCAGAAAAAAAAACATAAATAGGTAGACCACAAAAACTACAAAAACCACTCAGACACAAAAAGGAAAAGCACCAGAACCAGGCCAAAAAAAGAACAGAAAAAATGGTTGACGCACATATTAGGATTCCTTATGCGGCGGTGCCTCCTTTGGAAAGCCTTCATTTTCTCTCAGTGATGTGTGTGTGCTGTTTTTTGGTTTTTTTTCCAACGGTTGGAGGGTGAAGTCCTGCGCTGCCAAGGTAACCAAGTTGGAATGCGAGCATAAAAACCACACAGAGAAAATCAATTGACGCGTCGGGCGCACCAAATAGGCAATATTCGCGGAAATGAGGCAGGGCTTGTGATTTCAACATCCTTCGGGAGAGAGCAGCAACTGAAAACAGGGGAAAACCCATGGAAGGGAGCGCACGGGCTGGAACATTTGGTTTGGAATTTCTTTTTATTGAGTTATTTGACAAGGGCATTCACGTGACACACACGTGACTGGGTTTTCGCTGGTGTGGTTATAGTACAATCCTCAACCTCTCATATATCACCATCTGCATACGCATACATGTGTGACGACTTGTATCAACACTTTCAGTCGCCATTGCGTAGACGATTCCATGTGCTCTGAGGTGTAGAATGCGGACTAGAGCCAGTTCGTGGGCTTTTGTTTTGGGGCAACGTATATACAGGTGGTAGCATCTGTTGAGCAGCTTCATCTCCTTGCATGGGACCTCCATTGATCTATCCGGATGAGGAAATTGTATAGATACCAAACAGAGTTAGCACTGTATGGCTTAATGTCAATGAAGTGGTCACATAACAGGGCCATTATATATAAACAGAGAGGAGATTGAAAACCGGCAAATGTATATAACTCCAGTGAATCAGTACTCTTCGACTGTCTGATTCATCAGTAGAACAACTACAACAGCAACAACAAACGGTACAAAAAATGAGATTCCCTTTGACTTTCGCATTATCTATCACAGCTCTCATTTCAAAAGCTAGCTCACAATCATACTCCGTATCGTGTGAAACTCCAGAGCCAGACACAAGCTTGGTTAGTGTTGCAACTTTGACCAACGGTCATACAGAGAATAACCAACAGACCATCCTCCTGATGTCCATGTTCATGGTTACAGAGTATTACGACACATGCAATGGACAAACCGAGGTACCAAGTACCTCTCAGGTCTCATCATACCATACCACAATCACTTACTTCTAAAAGCTTCATGCTAAGATCCAATGAACTCTATTGTGTATTGCCCCACTCGGCATTATATATGCCTGTGTGAACAAACTTGACTGTTTTTATCTCAATACCAGTATAACTGTTTAACTCCATAATCGTAGGATGATACACGTAAAGAGCCTTGGTTCCCTGCGATAGCTTTATTTCACACGCCGGTATGCTGCTTGAAAAGACAGTGACAAGCTGTCTTGTACAAGCCGAGGAAAGTTATAACACAACGCCATGCCACAAGACACGGTAGCCTAGTAGGTTAAACAACTAGGAAAGATGAGTTATCAGCGAACTAGTGATCAGTGGCAACGGGTTGTTACCAATTTGTCCTTTAGGTCCCGGTATATAAACTGTGGCTCCTTGTAATAGGAGAAGACCATTGTGGCTAATACCCTATTACTTTCACACTGTTCGTAGTGCACGGGATAATGCTCAATTTCAGCCACAACGTTAAAGCTACAAGAGTGGAGACCACACTGGAAGCTCCACTTTCTCATAAAGAGTGACGGATTGGATGATATGGGCCACTGTGAAGTTATATAAAGGGGGTGTGATACCCTCCTTGTTCCTTACGTCCACCCTGTTGAGACAGTTGCAAGCAAACAAGAAATGTCAGCCACAATTCAATTACCAGGTATAGGCCGTAACATCAATCACGTCTCTGATATCCATTTCAGAAAAGATGAAGACCAAGAAGATGCCACTGGGCTGAAAAAAGTGAGCCAATCTGAGTATAAGACCGTTGAATACCCTGAATGGCTACCAACATGGGATCCCAAGGAGAAGTACGATTCTTACTCTGATGATTTCAACAAGTCATTCAGTGATCGTGGTCATCTAGCCCACCCACAGCTGAGAAACTTATTCCCAAAGGATAGTGAGTTTCAAATCAAGAAACTAAGTCCAAAATTGGGTAGTGAGGTGAGAGGAATCCAACTCTCACAGTTGGACGATGCTGCAAAGAACGATCTGGCACTTTTCGTTGCTCAACGTGGTGTTGTTGTCTTTAGAGACCAAGATCTAAAGGACAAAGGGCTCGAGTTCAACAAACAGTTCGGTTCCTACTTTGGGCCTCTCCATATCCATCCATCATCAGGTGCACCTGAAAAGTACCCTGAATTCCATGTCGTGTACCGTAGAAAAGATGCCAATGAGTACAACAAGACTTTCCAGGACAAACTCTCTGTTCGGGGATGGCACAGCGATGTGACGTATGAGAAGTATCCACCGGGAACCACTTTCTTCACAATATTGCAAGGGCCCGAGACCGGAGGAGACACAATCTTTAGTGACACTGTTGAAGCCTACAACAGGTTATCGCCACAGTTCAAGAAGATTGTGTCTGGGCTCAAGGCCAGACACTCCTCAGAGACACAGGCTGCATTTTCAAGAGCTGGCGGTGGTATTGAGAGAAGACCACCTTCCACCGTGATCCATCCCTTAGTGCGTATCCATCCGGTGACAAAGGCCAAATCTCTATTCGTGCCAACGTTTATAGAAGCCATTGATGGGCTCAAGAAAGAGGAGTCCGACGCCATCTTGAATGTTCTATTCGACCACGTCAACCACTCGCATGACCTCCAAGTCAGGGCCAGCTATGAACCTGGAACCGTGGTTGCCTGGGACAACAGAAGGGTCCTCCATGCTGGCACCTTTGACTGGGAAAGTGGTGACGTTCGCCATTGCTACAGAATCACGCCGATGGCTGAGAGACCCGTCACTGAGGAGGACGACTTGGAGGAGTGGAACCGTTGAACCGCACCGTCTGGTCAACCGGCTCTCTCTCCCAATGTGTATCCTTTGTTTACTTCCACCACCTTAAACTACAATATATGTAAGCCATGTTTGCGAAAAGTAAACAAACCCGTAACCGTAGTAATCCGTGGGATATATACATCTGTCTTGACAACGGAGAAAAAACGCTGTAGCCAGAACAAACAAACAAACAAACAAACAAACAAACAAACACAACTACAACTACAAAAGACCGCGGGATGGTCATGGACAAAGCACCCATTTCTCAACCTGGATCGAAGCCTTTGAAGCGATAAAAGCGTTTGAAATCATCACCATGTCGTGAGTAGACGTGCTGTATACCGAGCAGAAGACCATGAAAGTGCGTTGACTAATACTTCCCACTACACTTTATAGATCTACATACATCACCATCGCAGATGTTCCAGTAGGATACACTGTTCCACCTTTCCCGTCACTGTACTGGCCGCTTCACAGCGAACAGTACCAAGTGTCGTATCTATATTACTTGGAAGATATGTGGCGGTTTACCGTGATCTGGACGGTGATATTCTTCTCAACGTTCTACGGAGCAGCTGGTGTGTGGGCAGCGTTCCTACACAGAAAAATCGCAAACACGGTCTGGATCCTAGTCGTGTACCTGGCTGTCGGCTCTCTCCAGGGCTTTGTATCCGGTACGATCTTTTCACTTGTGTGAGTATACCTTCACCTCCACAGAGCCTTCCTTGGTGTACTAACGTTGTTCTTCAGCCTAGGCGCAATATACAACGCTGGTGTATTTGCCATGTCCACCTGGATCCCGATGTGTGCCGGTGTGGTTCAGATCCTCTTTGTCGTCATCGCATCATACTCGCTGACTGCGGGAATCCTATGAACCCATCGACACTCACCGTGTTACTAACCATCGCCAGGGAAATTGCACTGTGTTGACGACACAACCAAGCATTGGCGCCGTTATATGCGGCGATAAGTCCTATGCTTTCCGCTTTAGGAAGTCAAGCTCCGCCCTGAACGCGCACTCTGCGCGCCTTCCCCTTTGGGCTCCTTGGGGGGGAGGTGCCGGGGGCCCCTATAAATTTTCTACTCAACATTGGCCTTCCAACACCGTCAACAACCTGCTGTTTGAAGCTTGCACGGTGAACTGAAGAGAGAGGAAAGGATGTCTGCTGCGCTGGTGAACCGTTCACTATCTACTTTAAAGACCGAATTGGAGTTCTTGCGTGACTCCGATGTCATTTCACAGGATTTCTATGATAAAGTGGTTTCCAAGCTCCCTGACCGTTATAAGGCTGGTGCCAGCCCTATAACGTTTGAAGAGCCGGAGCTGATTGAAGTCACCACGATGAGTAGCGTGACAACCACGGCGACGAATCCAAGTGGTGTTAGCGGTGAGAAGCCTCCGCTTCCACAGGAGGAGCCGTTGAAGAAGGCTTCAACTGGTGGTGACGTGGAGATTGTCGAGGCGATGTATGATTACAGCCCACAACAGCCGGAGGATTTGCAACTTCACGTTGGTGATAAAGTGAGGGTGCTGGAGCACACGTCTGCGGACTGGTGGAAAGGTGCTGTGAATGGCCGTGAAGGTATGTTCCCTTCGAATTATGTCAAGAAAGTGGAGGCTGGGTCGAGAGCACCTCCTGCGCCTTCGTACGAACAGTCACAACAGTCACAATACAACCAACAGCAGTTCAACCAGCCACAGCCATACAATACACAATACGCACAGCCACAGCCATACAACCAATTTGCTCCTCAGCAACAGTACTATAACCAGGTACAACCGTATCAGCAACAGATGGCCCCACAACAGCCACAACAAGTTGTTGTACAAGGACAACAGCAACAGCAGTCCACAGGGGCAAGTGGACATATGAAGAAGTTTGGCTCTAAGCTGGGTAACGCTGCGATCTTTGGTGCAGGTGCTACTATTGGCTCAGAGATTGTCCATTCAATCTTCTAAGCTGTCTATACTACAGCTTTTCTATTCTTCTGGTTTACAGCTATTTTGGGTATATGTGATTATGATAAAGATGTATGTGTAGTTGTAACATCACTGGAAGAAGGTTCCGTATACGTGATATATCCTTGTGACGGTGTATAACCTGGTTTTCAGCTTGTCTGTATCAATGAGGTCATTGATATCACGTATCCATTCCTTCTGCTTATAGCTTGGAACCAACAACATCCCCAGTTGCCTCAGGGACACCAGTTCCAGCACCAAGGAGCCGTTAATCTCGTCCAATAGCTCACTCTGTTGATCTAGTTCTTGCAATTGGATCAACAGCCTTTCAACGTTGTTCAACACTCTGGAGATTTGTACTTTCTTCTGAGCAACGTTTCTCATTACATAACCACGTTTGATGTAGCTCTTCAACGCATCAAAGGTGTACACCAAGACCAGCAGACTAGGTGATGCTGCAACAATTCCAAAGACCAGTTCTTGAGATTTCAGCAGCTTGTCTATACCACTCATGGCCACTGCACCGTCAACCTTGGTCTTCTGCAATTGGATCAGCAGTGCTCTAGGTAATGTGCCACTAATTGTACTCTTCAACGGATGCTTGATGTCGCTTTCATAGTTCTTCATCAATGGTGTCAGATCTCCCGTGGAAACCATCTTATCCAAGTGCTCCGTCAGATTCGAGAGTTCTTCATTGGACAAGTTCTTATACTCAGACGAGTTTTCCACGGTGTATTCGATAACCATTCTTTTCAGCGAATCCAGGTCGGAAGAGAGCGACCTCTGTGACATGATGCTGATTTCAGAGTTGTCATCGTGTCTAATCGTCTGCAATATGTTCATAGTGGGCTTTAGGATCCAGTTGCTATAGAAGCCAGTGATTGTACCCCATACGGAATGCGTGAAGAACTCAACAATGGCATCACGGTTTGAGACGATTGAGATGATTGTTGAAGGTCCATATAACAAGGATAACAAGATGGTTGGCCAGTATCTCGTCAGTAGGGAAGGTCTCTGGACATGCGATAGTTTCAACCTCCATGAGTCGAACAGCTGTGGCAGCTGTTCCAATGTCTGTAGCAGTGTTTCAACTGGGTCGGTGCCATCTCCTTGCAAAAAGCCCAGAACCTCGTTAAACTTGTTGATTGTTTCAACACAGCCCTCATCGTCCAGCAAGGTTACATCTTTTGGTAAACTCTTCAGAAGTTTCCCCAATTCAATGGCATTTTCCCTGTGTACTTGTTGGGTATCCTGTACTTGACAGTGTAATTCATGCAATATGGACATGAATGGAGAGCCCAATATAATCTTTGTATAACTGATCCCCATTTTGGATAACGATCCCGGTGTAGCAGTTGATAACCCAACAAACTTTGTGAATCCTCGAACATTGTTGATAACAAGGTTGGAGTAGACAGACTTGGTCACCTCGTGAACCCACTGACGCCACTCCATGGTGCTTGTAGCTCTTGGTCGCAAGTCCTCGACAACTGTGCTAAATAGTCTCGTCAATCTACTCGGGAAAGTCTGCAAGGCATACAGTGCAGTTCTCCAAGATGTCGATGATGTCAGTTCCCAGTAGAACAGTTCATTGTTCAAGGGGATTGTTGATTTGAGCAGCTTGTTCAGTGTTATCTGGTAGAGCAGCACGATGGCGTACTGCACGCTCATTCTGTACAGATTGTCGTTCAGCTGTTGAGACTTTGGCACTCCTCTTATTGGTGTCAGCAGTTGTTTCAACTCCGCTAACGTACAGCCCTTGGATCCGATTTTGACCAGCCTCACCACTGTTGATGACAACTTCTCAAGAGCCTCTAGATCTGCCTTATCCCAATCAGTCCATGATTGCTCAGTCGGCAACTTCTCACCATTCTTCTCAGGTGGAGTAACAGACGTTAACTGGATAATACCAGTGTTGTTGTTCAAGTTCCACTGGGTCAATTGATCCAGGAGCTGTGAAGAGCATTTCTCCAGAGAGCAGAAGTTGTTGAGCAGGGAGTAACTAACAACGGGTTCAGCCATCTTAGACGTTAAAGCAAACTGCTTGCAAGAGTTCAACACTTGAAGGGATCGATAGCAATGAAAGTGAAAAGTTCCAGGCCTCTTGGCGATGGCCCAGGCAAGCCACGAGAGATGTCCGGATGTGCTCACATAATCACTTAGTAATCAAAGACGACAAAAGCGGGAAAAAAGATGCGAGGGAGGCGATCCAAACCCGGCTTTTGTGCGTTGAAGGAAGTTAAGGCCAATGCCGCCTCCGGTTTTTTCAAGGATCACGGTCATTGCGGCTAGGACCAAGTTGAGTAAGCACATAAGTTTCAGGTGACCACGGACAACTTTGTGATTGCCATGTTGGGTGATCACTGCGACTAGGACTAAGCGGAGTAAGCACAGAATTTTCAGGAGACCACGAACAACTTTGTCATTCCCGTTTGTGCCATCCGTGTGTGCGTGTGTCGTGTACCAAAAATTGGTAGAACAGGGATTAGTTGTTCGTGAAGGGTGGGGTGGGGGGACCTCTCAAGAGATTTCGACCTCTATAGCTTTGCATGATTAATCAGATATGTAAGTGAAGCGGAATAATCCATGTAAGGATTTGGAGTCTACGTCGGGTCATTTGTACATCCATAGATTGGAATTGTACATGCCCAAAGAAATTCTAATCCAACATTCTAATCCAACATCGAATGGCTTTTACCACTCAAAGGTTAAATCGGTAAATCAGATGTCTTAATTTATGGGCCAACTTTCCTGGGAGGGAGGAGCTGATGGTCTAAAAGTTGTATGATTGTGCTGTATAGAAAATGTATTGCATAGCACATCAACATGTGGACTAGTCCCCCCCCCCCCTGCACCCAACTTACGTAATCCAGTGACACTGAGGAAGGACTGAAAATAAAAGAGTTTCAAACAAAGAGCCGCATCGGTCTGGCCCACACCCAGGAGAGCTGCACACACACGGAAGACGAACGTTACTTCCGAATGCGGTAATCCAGCATTCCCTGTTTTGTAAACACATGTCCGCATTGGGACATAAAACAGGCATTTGCAGAGGCAGGTGAGCGAAAAAAGGGCATGGGCCTGCTGGTTGCTACGGTGAATGCCATCCACTGTTTGAGGGACCGGCCTGAAACTTAGTCGTAAAGTTGGGTCTTGGGATGGAAAAGGCTTGTAAAGCCGCTCGTCACCAAAACGAATGCCACCATGGACAGACACACACGCCCACCCACCTGAAGTTTAAGCCCTTGGACTCACCGCATTGTAATCCTCTCACTCGCACAAGCATTCCTCGTCACCAAGGAAAAAGAACGCAAACAGCGATGGCCCACCATGCACAGCACTTAATTCCTCACATCCTGTGACCTCTGCCCTGCTCTAATTGTCCACAGTGATCGATTGCTTGCTGTCTGTAATTATGCAGCAACTCCATGTAGTGGTCAAACTTTGTTTTCCGTTTTTTTCGCTTTTTCCCTCGCTCTCCCTCTGTTTGCAGCGGTTTCCCGCCCGAACAAGTGCAAAAACAAAACAAAACTGTGGGCTCTTGTTATCCCCTTTCCCTTTTGTTCTATAGTTTTCCTTTTGCCGTCATCCCCTAGAAAAAGCCCGAAAAGTTTTATAAATGGACCACACCCCCCGAATTTTGTCCCTATAGCACTTTCCCTCTTGCTCCTTCCTACTTGGTTTATCTTTGTTTGTGATTATACCATTCAATTCTAATCAGCACTCACATTCGAATTTGCAACAATGCTTCCAATTGCAGACTCAATTCTCAGAGTATTAAACTTTATGTTCCTGACCATCGTCCTTGGTCTGACGGGTTCGCTTATCCATGGTCAAGACCACTCTAATTCCAGGGTCAACTTTGCCCTGTTTGCCTCAGTCTTTGGTTTGGTGTTCTCATCATTCTACGGGTTGCTTGCCAACTTTGTCGAGTTCCTCGCATGGCCGGTGATCCTCGTGGCCTTGGACTTCTTGAACTTCGTCTTCACCTTCTCCGCTGCCACTGCACTGGCTGTTGGCACAAGAACCCACTCTTGTTCTAACCAGTCCTACTTGGACAGCAACAGTATCACCCAGGGCTCCAAGGACCGTTGCAGAAAGGCACAGGCTTCCACCGCCTTCCTGTACTTCTCCTTCTTCACCTTCATTGGTTCCGGTGCCATCTCCATCTTCTCCTTGTTGAACGGTGGTGCCTTCGGCTCCAGAAGACCTAGAAAGTCCGCTGGTGTTCCAACCATCTCCACCGCTTGAGTCCTGGCTGGGTTATAACGTCATGTCGTGAGAATCATGTGACATTACCGTCCTTTACTACCGCCACTATTCCCACTGCCACTACACATACGCACATATTCACACCTGTATACATTATTATACCACCACCACCACCACTTTTTTATATGCTCCACTGTGACCGCTGTCTGTTTGCTTGTTTATTTGTTTGATACACATTTACATTCATAATTGTTGATATGAAGCTGTTTTTTATACCCAATGGGGTGAAAATGATTGGTGTTAATCCAAAGCGAGGAGACTAGAGGATGAGACTTTTAGTCCCCAAGGCTTTATTTTTTTATTGTTATTTTTTTCTCTCTCGCAAAAGGAAACCCTCGCAGAACCGGTGGATAAAACGGGCGGACTTTCCTTTATTTTTTTTTTCAAAAGACTTGCAAAGACAGCACTTTTGGAGGTGAATATGTTGTTTGTATTGTTTCTATGTGGTTAATTAATTGTTTAATGAAGGTTATAGCAAAAAGATATACATTCGTGTAATGAAGTGTTTGTATCATTCTAATAGTGTACCCTTTTAGCTGTTTGCGTTGCTGCTGATGCCCTTATGCCTTTGACCAGGTGTTGGGACTTTTAGTGGGAATTGGGTATTTATTGCCGTTGCAACGCGAATAGTGTATGATGACAAGTGCCAATGTTAGACTTTGTTGTTTGGGTTCATGTCCTTCACACCGGGGTTGCACTGTCGGATTAGAATCAGAGGTCATCCTCGATGTCACCGTCGTTGTCTCCATACTGCATTTCGTCTTGCTCCATCCCAGTTGAAGTTGACTTGTCAAGAGACGTGAGCTTACCCATGATTTCAACGACAAATGGACGGATCTCGTTGATCTCCAAGAGAGAAAGGTTATCCAGTTGCAGATGGGACTCATTTATAAGTTGGAGACCCTTTTGCACCTTGATCATTCGTATCTCCTTGAGATCCTGAACCAAGGATTTCAACTTGTAGACTTCATCGTTGATGTCATCACTCGCGTATTCGAATATCAACTTGCTCTGTTCCAGCCAGTTATTAGGCAGCTTCGCAAATGAGGTCAATTCATTGACTTCATATTGGTAGAAATCCTGTAAGGATTTCAGGTTTAGCCAGTCCGGTGGAACAAGGGAACACTTGTTCTGCCTCTTCAGGATTAGCGCAAACCACAGTGGCACTGACAGACGTTGCATCGCCCTTATACTCGGGATGTTATCGGTGATGAGCTCGATCCCATTCATCGTGTAACGGGGGAGTATCGTTATCGGCTCGTTCTCAGTGAGAAACTGAATCTCCTGGGGTGAAAAGGTTGTCTTCAAGCAGCTGGGGAGTGACATTTGTGACTGGGAACGGAGGTGCTTCACAGTGTCATAGAGCTCTTCCAATGGGAGAGTTGTGAACGTGTTATAGGGAAAACGCGCGTAAAACACGATTTCCCCATTGGGAGTCCCAGATCGAGAAATTACGTAATCACATGATCACGTGAGAGGCATACGGTGAAACACGTGCGCTATATATACGAGCCACAAACAAAACAAAGAAGAAAAAAAACGTAATTTGAGTCATCGCTTTCTCCACAGTTCAATATAATACTCCTCGGTGAAGAGCCAATACAACCTCAATTGGGATGTTTCTGCGGTCAATTACCAGGAGATGTGCTGTGGCAACTCGGTGTATCCGTTCATCGAGGTTACTTTCGCACAAGCCTGTGACTGCGAACGCCCTGAAGAGAGAATCAGATGAGAACAAGGAATTAATACTCAGTATCCTCAACTTGACGACGACGAGAAGAGAGACGAGATTTTACCTGAACAAGTACTCGACTTTCAACTGTCGTAATGGTCCAAATGAAGTGGACACGATAAAGAGAGTGTCGGTGATCAAATTGAGAGGCAACCTGTTTGAATACGATAGGAAACAGCTGTCAAACTTCACCAATACTTTGAACTATATGAAGAAGCTGGGATGTTATCCAATGGTGTTGATCGACTGCGACTACTTGTCGAGAGAGTTGGACTTCAACAAGGTCGATAACTACATGTTCACCCAGTTCAACTACTTGAACTCGTGCTTCAAGCCTTTGAAGCTTACTCCGCTGAGATGTCTCATGACCATAGGCCCTGATGACAAGATAAAGCTGGAATCGTCTAAGCCAATACACGAGTGCGTGGAGAATGATACCATCCCTGTGATGTTTCCCTACGGATATGAATCTGGCAGGGCTCAGCAGTGGATTATCGGCTCTCAGGACTTTTTGAGCAATCTTGTACCACAACTTCACAAGCCCAATGAAATCACCGTGGAGAAGCTGATCTTCATAGATAAGCTAGGTGGCATTCCAAGTATAGAACGCTCAAATAACAGCCATGTCTTTATCAACTTGGAGCAAGAGTTTGATCGGATCCAATCAGAGCTACAAATAGGACACCTTTCGCTGTACGAACGTGGCATTCATCGCTCCAACATCGTTTCCATGCACGAGATCATGTCAAGTATCCCATACAAGGACCTGACAGGGATAATCACAACTTTGGAGGTTGCCAATGAAACCGTGGAAATGAATCCAGTCATATATAACATCCTAACTGACAGATCTATCGTTTCGTCGTCGTTGCCAACTACAAAGTACCAAAACAAGCAATCTCTTTCGAGCAAAGTGGCTAGAACAAGCATCATTAAGAAGGGCCTGAACGTGGAACAGCACACGTCCTTTGACTCGATAGACATGGTGAAGTTCAAGGCTTTGATTGACGACTCTTTCAAGAGAAGCTTGGACTTGGATCACTACCTGGCGAGAATTGTGCCCATCTTGAACCAAATCATCATTGTTGGTGATTACGACGGCATAGCCATCATAACCAATGAAATGGCACCTTCCGGTAAAACTATTCCCTACCTGGATAAGTTCGCCATCTCGAGACATGCCCAAGGCTCGCTGGGAGGTGCTGACATGATATTTAACATCCTACTACACGATTACAAGGACAAGCTGTTGTGGAGATCAAAGAAGATCAACCCTGTGAATGGTTGGTACTTTCAAAGATCCAAGGGTTCATTCGACTTGAAGAACAGTGAATTCAGGGTATTCTGGACTAATCCAAAGACCACGTTGGACGATATAAGGGACTATATCGATATTGGCATGAGAATCCAACCTTCATGGGAAAAGTGAGGAACGATACGGGCTCACTACAAGCACATACTATATATATATTTATTACTATATCATCTATGAGAAGGCAGTTACGATACACACAGAACACCATTATGCATGATCAATCGGTGCCATCTATACGCTCACCAATGTATTGAGATGTCGTATCGTCGACGATGTAGCCCGCAATGACATCGCCTCTGAACTGCAAGCGTTCACCGTTATCTAGTGCCATCGATAAGAGGTTGAATTGAGAAGCATCGCCTTTAACAGTGAAGTGTTGAAGATAGCCCTTTTCCACATTAAACGTCACCTCAAAATCAGGGTGTCGTATGTCGTATTCGAATTTTGGTGAATTGCCGTATTTCCAATCCCATTCTTGTAGTTCTTCAGATATCCTCAAGATATCTGGCTGCAGTGGAGACTCGTCTCCAACAGTGATAACGTCAACTTCCTGGTTAAAGAGCTGTTTAAAGCCTGTGACGACCTGTTCTACAAACACATCGTTGTCGATGCCAACGTTCGTGACAGGGGCCGGAACACTATCAACACCGTTACACCGTATGGTTACGTCTCGGTCTCTCTTCGTGGTGTCAAGCAGCTTCTTCAAGATGTCCAGCTTCGAGCTCAAGAGCATCGTTCCGTGATGATAGCTCAACCCCTTGGATATCTTATACGCACTGCCACTCACTTTCAACCCCTCCATTGTGATGATATCACCTCTTTCGTTCTGTTTCAGAGCGACTCCGATGGACTGTAGCTGTGACACTATCACACCACCGAAGAACTTCCTGTCAAACGATTCCCTGGTGGTCATATAGCTATAATTGACGTTGTGGAGATCGTGCACCACTGTCCCCCCACCACTTCTTCTCCTCAACATTGGGATGCTCAAAGAGTGTATCAACGGCAGGTTCACCTCCTTCCAGGGGTTCTGATTCTTGCCCACAACAACACACGGTGAGTTTGTATACAACACGAGCCTCTGGGCGTTGAACTGTGGTGTTCTTGGGGTATTTGCGAATACAAATTCCTCCAATGCCAGGTTCCTGAAGGGGTTCGTCATCGTCGATATCACAACTTTGGGCTCGTTCGAAGCAACGTGCCCGAGTAGGTCCCTGGCCACTGCTTCACCGTTGCTCTTGATTCCATACAGCTCGTCCATTTCAGCGTTGATCTGTGCAATATCATCCTCCACAGGCTCACCATCAAGACTCTCGCGCGATGACCCTGTAAACATGTCAGAGTAAAAGTTGTTGATCTCTGAATACTCGTCATCTTTCCCACTTCCAAGGTCTAAGTCAAACGGCACAGACGGCTTACCTGATTGGAACCTCTTGAAGAGCACCGGAACACCATGGCTCACGCCCCGTCTAAGCATATTCCCTGTGTTCTTCCTCCCCCCCCCCCTGCGCACCGTGGGTTGTGTGTCTCGTAGTGAAAAATTTTCCTGGTGGTTGCGGTGCTCCTTCACCTTGCTCAACCACCAATGGTGATGAAGATAGCGCAGTGAAAGCAGCACACGATGGATAGAAAGTACCCTTTGGAGGCCCAGCTGCTCTCACGGTCTCACGACACACACAGGGTCGTTGAGCTGCTCACGCAGAGGTATGCTGTTAACGACAAGCCGATGCTCTCCTTGAGACCAACCACTGGAGTGAAGAAGACGAAGAAGAAGGCAAAGACGAGGAGCCTGGTGGCCCAGATAATGTCGAAGAAGACGGCACATCAGCTGAACAAGCGTAATGACCAGACCAAGTTTGTGTTCAAGAGCTTTCTGAGACGTTCGATGTACGCTGAGCGTATGCTCAAGTACAAGGTGTCCAAGTTGAAGCGTGAGGGACATGCCATCGATGAAGCGAGCATCACCAGGTTCAAGGAGTACTCGCAGATCCCAAAGTATGATGATTTCCTCCAGTTGAACCTGCTGTGGACGCAGTATATCCAGGACCTGCTACAGGTTGAGCAATTGAAGGGAGCTTCATCTCAACCAGTGCTGTCCAAGCTGTCTAGCGCAGACTTCAACGGGTGCTTCCTCAACGTGCTCAAGAGCAAGAACAAACAGCTTGTGGACTCGTGTGGCATAGTGGTGTGGGACTCGAAGAACTTCTTCATCGTTGTCAAGCCGGATAACGGGCTCAAAATGCTGGAGAAGAAGGGAACAATGTTCAACTTCATCGTGCCGTTGTACAACGTGTTAGAGCCCGATGGCTCCAACGAGTGCATGGAGTTCACCATCATAGGCACACGGTTCCAGTACCGAAGCTCTGATCGAGCTGGACGCAAGTTCAAGGCCAAGAGCGTTGTTGATCTCGACATGTGAGCACTACTGTGCGTGTTCTCCTCCGGGGGCTGAACAAGAATACAAGGAGGTTTATTACGTTTATGGAGTATAGAATACGAACAGATGGCCATGGTCAGCGGTGGGACAGAGGTGCCAGCGGAGCTCAGGCACCGTCATTTAGAACCTTTGCCCCTCTTGTTGAGCTTCTTGGCCTTCTTCTTTGAGACCCTTTTGAACTCCTCCAGGTCCAAGAGCTGTGCCTCGTCATCGTCAGCGTCGTACATGGCGGCGGATCTCATCATCGCGTCGCGTGCAATGGCTTCCGCCATTTGCACGTCCGAGATGTCCTTGCCCAACTCGCTCGCCTCGATAACCTGCTCCCCTGAGCGCTCACCGCGGACACCGCCATCCTCTCTCTGCGCTGTGCTCGTCTTCGCCCTCGTCTTCGCCCTCGACGCCGGCTTGAGCCCCTCGCCCAGCTTCAACGCCGCAACCTCGGCATAGCTCAACTGCTTCAAGTCAACGTCGATGAACCCGTCGTGATCGACCTTGGACAAGGCAATGACGCGGCTTTCCGGTGTCAACGTCTCCTTGCTGGCGGCGTCGGCTGGCTTGTGCTCGGCCTGCTTGAGCTGGAAGAGGGAGAAGGGGAACATCATCGTTGTGAGCGGTTTGTGAGCGGTTTGTGGGTGGTTTAGCTGTGTTTGATGGGCTTATTTGCGCTTGTTGACGCTTGTTTACCCAGCTGTTTGTGGTTGTAGGTTGTTGTACAAAGAAGCCAAAGGGGAGTTTTGACACGGGTTTTCCCTTATCAAAACGTAAACAAAGGGGAGATCCCGCGCGGGCGAGATAAACAATGGGGCGATTACGTAAGGAAGGCGGGCGGGTTGAGATTACCCGGCGGATGGAACGTGGGGTCTGGTGGCGCTTATCTATGACGTCATGCTGGAGGGTGTGCGGGTGTTTTGATATGGGAGGTGGGAGATGGGAGATGGAAGGCTGGAGATGGGAGCTGGCATCGCATTGGTGTGCTTCGTTCAGAGTTGGATGCTGAAGGAGTGTGATGGTTGGATATGGAGGAGGCGTGCCATGTGCTGGTGTATTGCAGGTTCATATTTTGTGCGCTGTGACTTGTTTAGTGGACTCTCGGATGCAGTGTGGTGACGTGATGTGATCTGGGTCGTTGTATGATGAGACACGCGATGTTGGATCTAGTGTGGATCATTCCAGGTGTTGCGGCTTTCTTGGTCTGTTGTCTTGATCAGCTTTACTACGGTGGAACTTGACACATCCTGGAAGAGGACCCATTCGCCTGAAGCACATAGACATATATGCGAGGCATATGCATCACTTCAATGAGTGCAGAACATCTCCTTGGAGAAGATCATTCTCATGGTGACAAGTACCCTCTGCTGGCTCTGAATATGACGTATCGTTGATGCTCAGTATCTATACGAGCCTCCACCATGTCAACACGTCACTGCAGGGCCTCCGACAGTGGGAAACTCACCATGCACTGATTCATGATGTCTCTTAACTTGATCTGAATACAATTCACAAAGACCATCAAATCTATAACAGTATGCAATCGTATTATATTGTCTGACAAGAACCTAATGATGTCTCTAAATGAGACCAATCAATACAGACACACATGTAGGAGATGTACATACTCTGCTAAGCTTGTAGGCGTCGTCGATTAGCTGGACCTTCCTCAAAAAGTCCATTTCTGATACCGCCAACGTCAATCCTGATGGTGCCACAACGGTGTGACTCTCAATTGCCAAGTCCTGTTCATAATAAGATGAAGTATACTTTCCTTCACTATGAATTCTCCCCCAAACGTCCCAATTCTAAAGGTTTTATGAGAAATTCCCATCACCACAGGTTTCCCTCACTACATAGATCATTACGTAATCAAATCTCAACTCCAACACCCACCATTGTATACCATTCTTATCCAATCCTTTTCCAATTGAGTCACCTATGGCAAATCGATAACAATACATTCCTTCTACACTCTCTTGATTGAAAGTTTTACCAATTTTTTTTCTTGTACTGATTGAACTCCAGCTATAAATTTCCCTATAGCATCTTAACTAAAAATACATGTAGTCGTAACACACACACACAGACCCCTTTCAATGATTAAAATTGTCTCTTCTCCATCAACACACCCCACTCATCATTAATTTTGTCATTTTTCTCTTCTTTCTTTATGCCCTTTGGATCAATTTATTTTCTTCTAAAGGAAGAACCCTCGGTCAACTTGGCCTTACCACCAGTTGGGGTGGTCAAGACAGTGGCACAAGAGTCACAAGTGACAGCAGTTTGCGCGTGGGAGAAGACGGTGGTGATGTTCAAACAACCTGGACACTTGACATCCATGAAGTAAGATCTTGGACCTTGAACCAAGGTCTTGAGCTTGTGTTGTTTGGCCTCGGTGGCAGCAGATGGGTGCAACAAATCTTGAACTAAAACCTAGAAACACTTTGTTAGTATGTCGAGTCCTTTGTAAAGGCATATAGCCCCGGGATAGCAGGTAGACTCGCAGCACAAGACCGCTAAACAACTAGCACAGGAGAGGAAGGAAAATTTTTGCAATAACTTCCCCCTGTTCCAACAGCATATTTTTCGTAAACTCCCAGATAGAACACTTCACTTGGTAGAATGGCTCTTGCTTACTTATAACTAAGCGATTGGACATAGTCTTGATCCTTCATCGGTGTTGGAAGTTGGTTTTGCAAAACTGTGGCAACTTCATCCCTTCACACTTCATCTATCCCATCTTCAGCGGTGTCGGACCTCCACATAATCGGTATCACTGTGTTCATCTCGGCGCGGTCTATCCAGCTATCCCATTCGATTTGTCTTGCCATTAACGTACCATTTTGTATCAAACGTCTATTAACTTCCTTGGATGGTGTACAGATTCCTCTTTGAGTGAAGGAAAGCCTTGTGCATGAAAATTTTTTGTAAACGCCACCTGCAACCGAGCGACGGCACACGCACGCAACCAGAAAAAACGGGATGAAAAAAGAGCGCGAATATTTCCGAAAATGGAACGCAGTCACATTTTCCAGACGGGGTGTAGAGGTGTACACCAGGTGTTATTCCTTCCCTCACTATCACACCACGTGAGTTATCACTACACTGTAGCCCTAATCACCACAGAAACGGCTGAGACCCTCGCTTTGGCCTGTTGCCCCGGATTCTGCTTTGTTATGGCGAAATCTGCACTATCAACATCAACATCGAAAAATGACACAAACCTCGCTCATCAACATTGGATTGGCAAAGGCGCAACGCTGGGAGAGCACGATGGGCCAGTCGACAGAGGAAACGTTCGATACCTCGGACTACTACCATACGCCAATGGACTGTTCGTTAGCTGAAGTTGACGCTGGTTGTGACTTCGCATCAACAGCTGGGCCTAATGCGTCGCCGCTGTGCAATGATGATGCCTTTGGTGCTGGGATCGATAGGACGTTGAAGATCTTCACGTCCTCTGCGCAGTTACACTACCGGTACGCTGTGAAGTATTTGCCGATCTTGATCATACTGGTTCCCTCGATCCTATCGCTATTCTTCCCGCGGACAATAAAAGTCGGGTCCTTCCAACTCGGCAATGAGCAGAGTAACCCTTCGGCCATTGTGGTTGATATGTTCTCGATACTGACGTTATGCTGGATGGTGAAGTTTCTATTGGACTGGCCGTGGAAGTGGTACTTGCAGATCAATGGGCTGAAGGCGAAATTGGAGTCGTACTTGGACTCCCAGTACTCCAATGCCACTGATCCTCATCAGGAGGAGGCCCACGGTGGAGAAGAGTGGCAGGCAACTGCTGACAACAGTCTAAGACAGTTGAACTGGCAACAAGGTGCCTCACTGGTGTGCTGTGTTATAACGCCGTTCATCTGCTGGTGGATCCTTGTCTTTGCCCGTGATAAGATCATCGTGATGGGTGCCTCTGGTGCAACGTCAAGGGTCGTACTGTCGGACTTGAACGTTGTGATATTTGTCAGCTGCGGTATTCTCAGAGTTATAATCCAGATATCTGAGCATATCCAGAGATCAACAGCGTCTATCGAGCAGAGAACAGAGAAATGGTTCAAGTTAGCAACAATTAGGCGTCATTCAACGGCACAACATCAGGATCAGAACTCTGGCGAGATGCAAGAGATCAAGGCTAATAAACGTGATGAAGAGTTAAGCCAAAGGATTAGCAGATTGGAGTACCAATTGAGCGAGGTGTCAAGTAAGATCCAGATGATCTATTCAAGAAACAAGGTCACTTTGGATAACGAAGGTACGTTCTTATCAATGAAACACTTCAAGATACTCGAACGGGAGATCAACGAGATCAATTATAAATTGAACAACAAATATGCTGATTTGGACAGTGTCATCTTCAGGCTGAAGGAGGAGGTGGTTGGTACTAAACAGATTGACACGAATAGTACAAGGGCCCTAGTGGAGCAGTCAGATGCTATTGAATCCAAGAGACCAGGCCATTCCTCTTCTCTTCATGGTATTGTTCTAACAAAGAGACCAACTTATATTCCTCAAGGCCTGAACAGCTCATCTGGTACACTGAAATACCCAGTTGAAGAATACGCCAAATCGTTGAAGAATGGAATACCAGGATTTAAATCCTCTTGGGTTCAATATTTGGCTTCTACACTGAGCCCTAAGGAAGAAGGCAGTGTTGATGATAATGATGCTGAACACCTTGATGATCTACATGAGAGTAACTTGAACAAATTGACTGATTTGAACGGCAGTGGCAATAAGGCCATGGTACAGCAAGTCCTGTGGTTCTTTATTGATATGCCATTGTTCTTGCAAAGACTTACCTGGTCGATGATTGCTTACATTCCAACAAGATTATTGAGAATGGTGTATCTCGTTGCGCTAATGATACTAGAGGTCTTAGTTCAGATAACAAGCTCCAAGTCAACAACTTCATCCGGCTCAAAAGAGTTCTCTTCGATGCAGACTTCAAAGGTTATCAATGGCGTATCGAAGGCAAGACGGTATAATGGCTTGGTTTGATGGTTTTAAGTGCTAGGATGGTGATAATGACAGCTGATTGTATTGTCATTTGCTATTAATGGAGGTTTACTAATGATGGCTAACGATATGATTTACCTCTTTGACGACATTTTTTTTTTCACCATGAACTATGGTTTGGATTTTATTTTGCTTTTAACTGGATGAAAGTTGTATGGCTTACGTAGCTAGTTTCCTCTTCTTTGGACTTCTCTGGTCGTGGTCTTCTTCTTCCTCTTCTTCTTCATTATCTTCTTCTTCGTCCTCTTCATTGTCTTCTTCTTCGTCTTCTTCATTCTCCTCTACATTTTCTTCTTCTTCTTCAACTTCGTCGTCAACTTCTTCATCAACTTCTTCATCAACTTCTTCATCAACTTCCTCATCATCATCTTCTTCTTTGACCTCCTCTTTCACCTCGACATCGTGATCTTCATCCTCCAGCACCTCCTCGGTCTCTTCAACTTCCTCCACATCAGCGTCACCATCAGCCTCCCCTTCCTCAGCTTCCCCACCCTCGGACGCCGTATTCTTGTACTTCTTCAGGTCCTTAGATATCTGCGTAGACACCCGTTGTAGCCAATCGACACCGTCTAGAGGTGCACACAGCAGCAATGCCCTCATCTCTTTGACATTCTCAACTGACTCGTTCTTTTCGCCACTAAGGACATTTTCAATCGCCTGCTTCAGCTCAGGTCTCTGCTTCACCAGCTTCTGTAGTCTCTCTCTGTTCTTAGAGTCCACGGCCGGGCTCACCTTGCCATTCTGTTGTGTCTTGTTCGAAGAAGATGAGCTCGTAGCCTCGTCCGGCTGCTTTGAGCCCAGTAGCCTCGTCAGCAGCCCTAACACGTCGAGGATGTTATCGATCTTGCTACTCAGTTGTCTCTGCTGTGTCACGATGGAGTTGAACTCCATCTGTAGCGCATGATGTGAATCCAACGATCTGGCATACTGTTCGAGCAGCCTGTAGTACTCGTGTTCATCGTTCAGAGGCTCCTCCACTGCTCCATCTGAGGCCCTGCTTGTTGACGTGTTTGTAGCCACCACTGTCTGATCCTTGGACATCTCTCCACGAATAACAGCGAGTTGGTCTCTGTGTAGTTCTCTAGTGATCAATCGTATTTAGGGGTGGTTTGTTGTGAAGTGTCTCTTGTGCTCCAGGGGAATTATCAACACTTCGCGAACGTACGCAGGCTAGGCAGGCCAGGCAGGACAGACAGGCTACGCAGGACAGACAGGCTACGCAGGACAGACAGGCTACGCAGGACAGACAGGCTACGCAGGCTACGCAGGACAGACAGGCTACGCAGGACAGACAGGCTACGCGGGCTACGCAGACCACCCCAGCAGAGAATCAACTGCAAAGAGCTTCAGCCCAACGGCTATGAACCAACTAAAATCATCAATTCTGAACAGCACTCTGTCTTTCGTAGAACTCCACAACCTGCTCACTGGACGTGGCATCTTCAATTGACTTGTCATCTCTTATTCTCAAGAACCTTGGGAATCTCAGTGAAACACCACGGCCAAACACGTCTGCCCCGGCCTTATACACGGGACTGAGCGATAGATCAGCCGTTAGCACTTCAAACAGCGTGGTGGGCTCGAACCACACGTCTGGCTCAGCACCAGTGTCGTAGATGTAAGAGGCATCCGGTGTTTCGGTCTCGGTCTTGGAGAGCTTCTCGTAGAGCTGTTTCAACATGTCGTCCGAGAACCCTGTTCCAATCTTACAACACGTCTCATATTCGCCGTTATCCTGGTTATAAGACGCCAGCAGGAACCCACCGTACGTTCCTGTTCTCTTACCCTTGCCGTAGTAGGCACCAACGACGACGAGGTCGAGCGAATCGCCAACACCAGCGAGGTAATCCTTCTTCAGCTTCAGCCAGGAATTGGACCGTTGGCTCGGTCTGTAAGGGTCTGTGTCCAGAGTCTTCACCATTAGCCCTTCACATGAAGCCTTGACGGACTCATCCAGGAACTGTTGCAGCTCCTCGACGTTTGAAGTGGTCTTGCTGGTTGCGTACTGGAATTTGCCAGCAACAGGCGTTGTGACCTTGTACAGCACCTCACGTCTCTGTCTCAAGGGCTTCTGGATCAATGGCTCATCGTTGTAGCATAGAATGTCGAACGCAAACAGGCACACTTGCACTTTGATGTCATCTGCGTTGACATCCTTGCGCTTTCTGGTGCTCAACACTTGGAAGGGTAAGATCTTGTTGTCCTCTCTGCTCCATGCGACTGCTTCGCAGTCCAGGATCAACGATTTGGTGTGTTGATCTGTCTTGAGAAAGCCCTTGACACTGTCAACGATGTCCGGATATCTCTGGGACATGTCCTCAGAGTTTCTGGAGTACACTTTCACCTGTCCGTTGTCCAGCAGGTGGACCTGAGCCCTTTCACCGTCATATTTGTATTCACAGGTGAACTCCTCGCCGGTGAATCTGTCGAGGATTTCACCAATGGACTTGGTAGGTTTGGCTAACATCGGCTTCAATGGAATACCAGGCTTCAGGCTGCAGTGCTTGTCCAGATTCAGGACACCGTACTCCAGCGCAGTCTTGATCAAGATCTCATAGTTGGGGATCTGACAAAAGGCATCTCTGATCCTTTCCTCTGCCTTCACAAACAACTCTGGTGTCAAGCTCTTGGAGGACTTGCCTTTGAGCCTGGTCTCATGCGTAACCAGGGCCTTTGCCAGAGATATCAGCACCGTCTTCTCTGCCAGCCCAATTCTCAACTTGGACTCCAATGTTCTGATGAGGAACTTGGCCTCCAACCCTTGAGACGCAGTCAGCATTCTCTTTATGATGTTGATCTTCTTCTCCTGGGACTTGTTACCGGATGCCAGGGCAATCTCCTTCAAATTGGCAAACACAACGTTCACGGTCAACGGTTTGGGCTTGAACATCGTTGGCTGGACGTTTCTTGCCTGCAGCGCAATGGTTCCCAAATCACCGGTTTCCTTGTACTTCAGCTTCACCTGTTGGGTGGATTTCCCAGTGCTTTCTGCTATCGTCTTGATCAGGATGGTTTCCCCCAATCCCAGCTCCAGTCCCTCGTAATCAGGGCCCAGCCTGTTGATGAAGAGATAGGTGATCGGGATCAAATCATCCTGGTTGGTCTCCAGCACGCTTAGGAAGAAATCAGAGGTCAATTGGATGATCTCCAGTCTCTTGGACGTCGACTCGATCTGCTCAAACACCTCGACCAGCGCAGCGTACGGGATGGGCTTCGCAGCAGCCATCTTTGTTTCCATCTTCTTCGGAGCCTTGTGCTGTTCCAGCTTGAGGATTTCCCTGGCATCCTCAAAGTCCTTCTTCTCAGTCTCAGAGTCGTACGCAAGGTCCTCTTCCGGTGGCGAGTGATCTCCGTGTGGTTCCACCACGGTCTCATCAGGCTTCAGCTTCTTCTCAGCGCGTGGAACCTCGTCGCTCCTTGGAGGAGTAGGCTCCAATGACCTCTTCTTCGAGAGCATAGCAAAGATGTCTCTGTTGCCAGCCATGACGGTCGATTTCAGTCCAATTCGGTAGTTGTTGACGACAATGAGAGGGCTGCTGTGTACTAGTGGAAACGTGACGAGTCTCCTCCACATACACACCACGGTAATATGGCTGTTGCTCCGAGTTTCTTCAAGGCGAGGGCAACCGGTACGCGTGAAAAGTTTCGCGTCGGTGATGATGCCCAAGTTTACGCGTCACGGACGGATAAAACGAGTGGCACTTTGGCGATGACAGGGCCCTGGTGGCCTCAGCACCGGTGGACACTGCCATAGCACGGTTTCAGGCTCAAATTTGGCCCAATTGGCGGCTTTGAAGGGTCTTCATTGAAGAGGCTATAGGATGGCGAAGTGGAAATATCCCGATTAGGAACATTCCCTGTTTCGGTAGACTTCCTATCTCGGAAAGCCCGTGCTTTCCACCTCTCTACCAAACAAATGCGTGGATTTTTCCCTCATTTCTTTTCCCTCTGCAAACAATCACATTGTTTACTTCTCCTTCCTCCAACACACTCTCATCGTATTCACCGTTGAGCAACGTGGTGAGGAAGCTATGGCCAATAAGAGAAGACCTAAGAAGACCAAGGCCCCCTACAGAAGGTACGGGCCTGGAGGTCTGATCAGGACAGAGCAGCGGTCATCAGGCGAAGGAGCCGATGGCGCTGGCGATGAGGACGAAGACGAGGACGAGGAAGCAGAAGAGGCAAGTGTGATGGTGCGTGATAGCGGGACGCTGTGGCCAAGGTCCCAGTTCAGTAAGGTGGATGTGCTGTCGTGGGCGCTGTTACGGAGTGCGCTGAAGCCTGGGGAGGTGCTGAATATAATACCGGTGGACTTCAAGAGTGAGAATGCCACGATTCCACGCTTGCCCGTGGAAATCTTGGAACTGGTACTGAAATACGTTGACGAGCTTGATCCAAAGTATCTGCTGGTGAACAAGACCTTCTACTGGCTGTATCTACCGCTCATATACAACAAGCCAAAGCTTGATTCGCATAACTTCCATATGTTTGTTGAGTCGATCTCCAAACCGAAGAACAAAGTCGGACAGCTCGTGAAAACGTTGGACCTGTCGATGATCATCCAAAGTGGCAAGAACTCGTACGTCTCAAAGGTGTTGAGACGGTGCTCTGAGAACTTGGAGGTGTTCATTGCTCCTCAGACAAGTTTTGGATATGCGCCTCTCATCAGCTTGAGAGGCTGTAAGAACATCAAGGTGCTGGACTTGGGACTCGTCTCTGAGACGGTCAATCTAAGTGAACTGTTCCACGCGATCCAGAACTTGAAAAGGCTCACGAGATTATCGTTTCCAAGATCATCCATCTCCTGTAATGAGGAGTGTGATGAGTCGTATTGGCCTCCGAATCTTTGGCATTTGAGACTCAGTGGTGGTATCTCTGAAAAGTTTCTTTCAGACTCCATATTCCCCTCCACGATAACACGTCTGGAGTTTGCACACTGTCCCCTGATTACTGAGTTTGCCATGTATAAGATGCTGTTGAAATATGGTGAGAACCTGACCCATCTTTCTGTTCAATATCCAATGCCAGGGTTGAAGGACAACTCTTTGGATTTCCTCTTCACTTACTGTCCCAACCTGATCTTCCTACAAGTGTTTGTCGACTATTGTTCCAAGTTCCTCTTCTCGGAGGATCTGTTGCCGAAGCTGAGTGGTCGGGAGCGTCCTCTGAAGACCCTATGGATCGAGTCCAGCGGTGGACTGGGACAGAGCTCCAAGATCCACCCGGATGACCTGACCATTGCGCTCATGGAGGATCGTCTGCCATGCTTGAAGAACGTGCGAGTGACCTCGAAACTGGGCTGGGATGAACAGAACGACGACGTTGTTGATCTTGCTGCTCTCTTGGATGATAACGGTGGTGGCTTGTACGTAAACTACACTTGATTTACTTCTTTTCAGGAGCATCCATCCGGCCAATCGTTGTGTGCTTTTTACCTTATGACGTGTGTCTTCACCCTCCAATGTTTGTTTTCACCCTCCAATGTGTTTTTAATCTCTTTATTCTATTTTAACGACCGTTACGAATGCTCCTCCCTCGCCGTATACATTTGTCCATCCCCGATAATCCCCGTAACGCCCGAACGGGACAAATTAACTCCGTAGCATGTCCCGTGTCTCGTGTCCCGCGAGACAAGCCCACCGACAAAGTTTGAGAACACGTCAACAAAGACAAATCACAACACATACAAAACACTTAATACCCACCAACAACTCAGCGATACACCCACCTGCACGCACACAATGGCGAAGTTGGCCGGTGACGAACCCGTCCAGGTGATCAAGAAAGGTCCAAAGAGACCATACATCACCACTGAGATCGATGAGAAGTCCGTTAAGGAGACGGAATTGGTGCAGAATGACTACTTATTTATCTTCATTGCAAGTGCCATCTCCATGGGTCTTAAGCTGTATTCGATCAGTGATCCTTCCTTGGTCGTGTACGAGGAGGTCACCACGCTGAAGCACATCAACAGCTACATCCATGGTGTGTACTTCAACGGCGTTGCGCCGCCATTGGCGGACCTCATCTACACCTTCATCGCATACATCCTGGGGTACCGTGGTGATGATGAGGTGCCAGACGCTACTGTCGCCGTCCACGCAGTGACTTCGTTCCCATTCGTCGCCTTGAGAGCCGTCACGGTGCTCTTCTCCACTGTCCATGTGGCGGTGGCCTACCTCACCCTGAGATCTTGCACGGTGAAGCCAGTGGTGGCTCTCGTCACGTGTCTCCTCCTCGCCATGGAGAACCTGTTCATATTGGACTCAAGATTGATTATACCTGACACGCTCTTTCTGCTGGGACTGTCGTTGACCGTGCTCTCTGCTAAGAGACTCACCAACTCTGAGCCTTTCTCCAGACTGTGGTTCAAGAACTTGATTCTGACGGGGTTGGCCATGGGTCTTTCTGCCTCGACAAAGTGGATTGGCTTTGCCACCATCGCCTACGTCCTGGCGCTTGCCCTGCTGAAAGTATGGCTCATCCTCGGTGATGTTGAGGTCTCAAACTGCAAGGTGACGAAGCACGTCACCTCCAGGGCTTTGGCGTTCCTCGTGGTGCCAGCAGTGGTTTACTTCTTGACCTTTGTCGTCCATATCGAGCTTCTTACCCAGTTCAACAGAGACGCTGCGCTCTTGCCGTCACACTACCAAAGAGACCTTATTGGCAATGGCATCTCAGACATCCCAAAGTACGTCACTTACGGCTCCAGGGTGACAATAAGACACAAGGAATCCCTCGGCGGCTACCTCCATTCGCATAAGTACAACCTGAGAACCGGCTCCAAGAACCAGCAGGTCACCGTGTACGACTACCAGGAGTTCAACAACGAGTGGATCGTGGTTCCGTTCCGCCAGCCGCCTGCCAATGACCCGAGGGTCAAGCGTGATGCCTCCGTGTTCCTGAGACACGCAGCTACCGGTGCCATGCTCAGGGTTGATCCAAAGCTGAAGCCTCCAGTGTCTGAGCAGGACTACAACAGAGAGGTGAGTTGCTTTGGGAACTCGACTTACCAAGGCAACGAGACCGAGACTCTCAAGCTGAAGTGGGACCAGGCGAATGGCCAGTACCTCACGGCGGTAGACACCGAGTTCACCATCGTCAACCCTAAGAAGTCGTGCACCATACTGAGCCACGACTTGAAGCTTCCAAGCTGGGGTTATAACCAGCAAGAGGTGCTCTGTATTGAATCTCCAAACGCTGAGCGTGCCAAATTCATCGTTGAAAGTGTCAAATACCCAGCTGACTTCAACACGAGCATCTTGAATGAGCTGGATGAGAAGCTGGAGCACCGTCCACTCTCCATCTTTGGTAAATTCCTCGTCTTGACCAGAATTGCTGTCCGCTTGATCCAGAGAATCGAAGTGCCTAACGACTTCCTGGGGGTTGCAAAGAAATGGCCAATGTTGTTGACTGGAGCCGCTTTGGTCAGCACTAGCGACATAACCGTGCTTGCTCTTGGAAACCCAGTCACCTTCTACTTGTCTCTTGTGCTCATCCTGGTTGCGCTGGCTATATCACTGATCAGTGTAGTCCGTGGGGACTGCACAAGATCTCTCTTGAACTACAGGGCCAATGCCTTGGGCTTTGTTGCTGGTTGGGCCTTCCACTTCCTGCCATACGTGTACTTTGAGGGCAACTACCACCTGACAGACTATGCGCCTGCTCTGTACTTTGGTGTCCTGCTGATCGGCGTCACTCTCCAGTACTCATTGGACAAGAACAGGAACTTTGGTACTGCGCTGATGATCATCACGCTGGTGTCGATGTATTACATGTTCCTGAAGGTTATGAGTGTGGTCTATGGAACTACACTAAAGCATACATGAACAGCATACTTGTTTACAGGTCCCTGGTGAACAAAATGCACATGATTCAGTATATATATATACCATTATAATCAACTCAAGATACTACGACAACGTTCCACGCGTGTATATCTACGCCATTTTCTTAGATTCTATCAGCTCCTTCGAGAAGCTCGTCACGAGATCGTTACACCATGCCAGGAGCTCGTCCTTTTGCCTCACGGCTTGCAACTTCTCCTCCTCCACTGACTCCAGCTCTTTCTGTAGATCAACAACCTTCTTGATCTGTTCCTGTTGGCTGACCCCGGCACCCGGTAAGCTGTCGATGAGCGCGAAGATCTGGCGTGTCTTCAGTATCAGGTCCGTCGACAGCTCGTCGATGGTGTCCTTGAACTCCTCTTTCGTCGCCACCGTCGCCTGTGGGTCCGTCATCGCCTCTTCACCTTCAGCTGGAATGAACTCATGGTGGGTGTCCACGTAGTGTAGTGTCGCGCAGAACTGCTCCACCAGCTGATCGAGGCAGATCTGGAGTTGTGTGAGTCTGTCAGCCATATCTCAGTCGATTTCTGCTTCTCTGAATGGCCTTCTGTGTGTGTTTGGGCTGTTTGAAGCACCTTTTACAGGTGATTTGTTGTTGATGTTTTCCGGCTTGGGGGTTTATGATTAGAATTTCAGACCCGTGCCGGCTTGGGACTAGCGCTTCGGAGGGACTAGGGGACTACGGGGACTAGGCCGGTCCTCACGGACTAGTACATAATTGGACTACAGAGACTGGGCACCATTGGTACAATCCAAGATTTCACGATGATCTATACGTACTATAGAGCTCATTTCTTGGGTTTATACCTCTGTGGCAGTAGAGACTTGTCGTACTTCTCAACCTCACCCTCCATCTTCCTGCTCAGTATCGATTCGTCCCTATAAAATGCTCCCTTGGCCTTAACATTGGATGTCTGTTTCCTCTCAGCATCCAATCTGGCCTCCAGTTCCCGTTCTTCCTCCGTGAGCAGCTTCCTGTTCTCCATCTCCTCCAGCTGCTTCATCTCTTCTTCTTCCCGTTCGATGTCACGAGTCTCTCGTGCCAGCTGTCTCGCTTCCCAGGCGGCCTTCTCGGCCTCAGGGTCGAGCCCGTCGGTATCGTCTAATCCTCCGTAGTTGGACGAGTCCAATTCCAGCTTACGCAGATACTCTTGCTCCTGTTGTCTCTGAACTTGGATCGACTTGAGCGTGATCTCTTTCGCAGTGGGCTTGTCAGTGCGTGTCCTTGTCTGGAGCCGTTGCTTCTTTGATAGGAAAACCGGCTTCAGTAATCGTGGACTGCTTGAGCTATCGCTGTCGCTGGAATCGTCGCTATCGCTAGCACTATCGCTTGCTGTCTCATCTTCACCATCAGAACTATCACTTCCATCCTCTTCTTCTGGCACCTCCCCGGTGGTTTCCTCGCTGACCTTACTTCTACCACCACTCATCTCATCACCCAAGGGCTCAACATTGGTCTCTTCGACAACATGCCCCCGTAGTTGTTGTTGCTGTTCTTCTTCCTCCTCCTCACTGTCGCTCGATTCCGAGCTGCTATGATCTCCAGCTACTGGCTTACCACTAAAATGTCTCTTCATCCCCTTCAATTGGCTGACTGACTCACCTTCTTCCTCCCAGCTCCTCTTCCATCAACAGCCTAGTCCCACCAAACTTTGTGCGTAGGCCTTTTTATGCTGACTAAGCATAGTCTCTCCACGCTCTCTACATAGCGATGCGCTATATATACACGCTACAACCGGTCGATGAGTGATGTATTTGTCGTATAGATCTGGCGTGTATGGCCAATTGATAGTGCTGATCTAATAACCAAAGGTTTGGTTACCAGAGATCCAAGCATTAACCATGTCCAAGGCGTTGAAAGGCTGGTCGTATGGAACCATATGGCCAGCATCAAACACCCTGAGGAATGTCAGTCCTCCAAAGCTCTTCACCTCTCCACTGTGCTCACCAGCAGAGTTGATCCATGGCTGTAGCTGTAGCTCTCTGTACGTTGGAGCAAACAGCCATTCCAGGTCATCGGTCCAGCCATGGTTGCCGAGCCAGTTACAGATGAAGTCCTTATCACCGGCGTAGATCAGCACAGGGTATCCACTCTCCAGGAGCTCGGTGATGTAGCCTTGGAACGGCTTGGCCTCATCGCCGGTCAGCACGAATCTCGAGCCGACGGTGTCACTGCATCCCACGTACTTCTCCACTTCAGAGCCCAAGGCCTCCTGAACAGAAGGCAGGTTCAAGTACTGCTCGACGTAATCAAGACCCTTGTAGCAGAGAGACTCACCACCGTCACATGGACCTCTAATGTCGTACACGTTCAGCCCGGTATTGACATATGGCTCCAGCAGCCTGTTACAGTAGAGCATCGCAGGGACACATGCAAAGGCACTCTGTGCCTTGTAGCAGGCCTTAGTCAGTTGAGAGCATCTCTTTGCTGTGGTTTGCATGCCCTCACACTGTTCCTTCTCCAATACGGGCTTATAGCCACCTTTACCACATGCCATTGGCTCGTAGTAGTCATTCTGGACCAAGGAGTCCGTGATACCGTTGCCAATCAGCACAGAGGTCAACTCAAACGAGCGATCGGCATGGTTAATGATCTCAGAGGCAATTGCAGGGATATAGTGTCCTGCGTAGGACTCGCCAGCAACGTGGAAGTCATTCGAGGCGAACTTAGGGAACTTTTGGAAGAATAGCTCTAGGAACACGAAGACGTCCTTTGCAGCAGCGTAGGAATTGGTGACCTCTTCCTCGCCGTATGAGTAGCCAACACCAATTGGCTGTTCCAGGAAGATAACACTGGCATTGGAATTCCATGAGTACGGGTTGTACACAGGTTTCAGGTCCTCGCCAATGGAGGAAGGGCCCAGCTCGAAGAAGAGGCCCGTCATGGAGGAGCAGCCTGGTCCTCCGTTGAGCCAGAGAATCACCGGGTCGTTTGCCGGGTCGTTTCTGGACTCGAAGAAGTAGTAGAAGAAATGGTTATCGCCCTGGTCCAGGTACCCAGAGTACTGTTTCACGGTGTCTATCCCCAGCGAGTACGGATCCTTCTTGGACGTACGCAGGGCGTAGCCTGAGTATTTGTCCAAGGTCAATACGTCGTACCTTTCGTCTGCTTCAGAGGCCTTGCTAAAGACCCTCTCCTGGTGTAAGTTCCTTGGAGAGCTCCAGAACTTGCCCTCGTAGAAATCATCAACATGGCCTTTCATCTCGCCAATGGAGTGCGATTTCAACAGCTCGGTCCACGCCTTGAGCAGCGCAGGGGTCTCACCACCCACGGACGAGCGTAACGAGGACAGCGAAGCACCGGCATGGCTCAACAGCCCTGTAACATCACCAAGGGGACTCTGTGAGTTGAGCGAGGCACCATAGGCCAATTGGCCAAGCAGCAGAGTCTTGAGCTTCATTTCCTTGTTTCTTTGCGTTCTATCACCTCTTTCTAGTATCTTGTGCTATGAAGAGAGGTTGGCAAGCAGGGGAAAGCTGTTGTCGATAGGGGGAAAGAGTATCAAACCCATCTCTTTCCTCTATGTATTGCCTCCAGGTACGAGTGTCTCTGTTGCCGGGGCAACGCTGCCTCCCTCCCCCCGCGCAGAGCCCGCACGGTTTCCCCTTTGGGAAGGAAAGCCGGTGTACGAGGCATAGGCACCGAGATTCCGCAATTGGAGACGCTGTAATGGGCAGAGCGAAAAGGCTGGTGGGCCAATTGGACTCCGTTGCGAAGGAGGAGTCGTTGGGCTGGTGCTGGTGCTGGCGTTGCTGTGCCATCTCAACGTTGGCGTTGCTGGTGTTTCCCGGTATACTCTGTTATCTCCGCTTATCTCCATCAACAATACACCGTGTTATCTCCGCTTATCTCCATCAACAGTACACCGTGTTATCTCCGCTTGTCTCCATCAACAGTACACCGTGTTAGCTCCGCTTATCTCCATCAACACTCCACCGTCAACATGAAATGGCCTGTTTTGTGTCATTTCGAAGGTTCCCACAATGCTTTTGGAGAAACACAAATCCCTCCTCAATGTCCTCTGATTCTGTTGCTGTAGAAGTAGATAGCTAAGGCGAGCATCCCCTGGTAAAATGCTCAAGTCGTGCCTCTTGATCGGAGCCTTGGTTGGGTTCGCATCGTCAAAGTCGTACATAGTCCAGCTTGTGGAGGACACGTCCTCCGAGACGTTCTTGAGGGCTCAGTCCCATGTCAGAGCGTCTCACTTCTCTCTGATGATTAGGCAGACCATCACGATCGGGGCTCTTGAGTGGCTTGTTATGGATATCGAGGACGAGGCTGACGATTCCAGTTCGAACGCTGTGGAGATTGTTCAGATGGACCCGTTGGTTGCTTCTGTTGAGCCCAATGCGGAGGTTTACCTCATGCAGGACGATCCCTATGGCTTACAGTACGATCCCTATGGCTTACAGTACGAGCCTGAGGAGGCCTGGTTCGATGCAGAAGGTGTGTTCCAATACGACGGTTCTGAGGTTTATGAGGATGTTGAGCCATCTGATAGCGACGCCAACAGCCAGTTTGATGCACCGGAACACTTGGCCCGTATCTCCAGACGTGAAGGTGTTTGGCTTTCACAAAAGCCATATTCATTTCCCTATGATGGCTGTGGTGAAGGTGTGACGGCCTATGTGATTGACACCGGTGTGGAAACCTCACATCCTCAGTTCGAAGGACGTGCAAGGCAGTTGTTTAACGCAATTGACGATGAGCCAAACACGGATTTGAACGGCCATGGAACTCACGTTGCAGGACTTGTTGGCTCGAAGACGTATGGATCAGCCAAGTGTGTCGATATCGTTGGAGTTAAATCTCTCAGCGCAACAGGTAGTGGTAATATATCAACCATCTTACTGGGGATAGAATTTGCAGTTAATCACTGCAAAGAACATAGTGAGACACACAAGTGTGTTATCAACATGTCACTCGGAGCATACTTCATGTCGAGTGTGAACGATGCCTGTGATGCAGCAAGTGAATTAGGGGTGGTGGTGGTTGCAGCTGCTGGTAACAGTGCCGTGAGTGCATCGATAACGTCACCTCTGAGTGCACGCAGTGTCATTGCCGTTGGTGCAATGGATTCGAAAACAGATAGCATCACAAACTTCTCAAACTATGGACAAAGCGTGGCAACGTTTGCACCTGGCTGGGAAGTTGAAAGCTTGGATTTCACCAACTTTGGCCTTCCGGTGAGGTACAGTGGTACCTCAATGGCTTCTCCAATAGTGGCTGGTGTTTGTTGTGTCTTACTTTCCAAGGGCGTTGAACCAAAAGATATGAAACAAGTAATCGTGGAGACCTCGACTGAAGGAGCAATGTCGCATTCTTTAAACCGTTGGCGGTACTATTCAACCCCTGATAGGGTCATATACATGGGACCACCAACAGAGAGTAAGAGGGCCAATGTTGATAGAGCAAAGGGCGAAATCAACCGTCCTAAGTCCATGTTCAAACAAGTAGACGTTCCTGGACAGTTGGACTTTGACGTTGAGCGTGATCCAGTGAGCAGTCCATAGCTATTTCAGGTTTTGAAGTGCTAATTAATGTCTCATGAATTATGCAGTGTAGGCCATCGGCATCCATAATAATTATATAATATTATATATAATTATTATATAATTGCTCCATTGTAACATAAAAAAAAGTTGGTTTCTCCGGTGATAAAACTCCATCATTAATCTCCTTGGTACAGTATACTGTGCAAGGCAACTATCGTGACTGAATTTCGAGGTTGAAGATGAATAGACTGTTTGGATCCAAGAGCACTACTCCTAAGCCGACGCTGGATGGTGCTATCAAAACCACAGAGGATCGTATTGCCACGTTAGATGTTAAATTGGCCAAGATCAATGCTGAACTGGGAGCGTATCAACAGAAGCTATCAAAGATGAGAGAAGGCCCGGGGAAGAAGTCCTTGAAGCAACGTGCTTTGGGGTTGCTCAAACAACGTAAGCAGATTGAAGCTCAGAAGGATCAATTGGAGCAGCACGTTTGGGGTATGACCACTGCACAGATGACCACTGATAACTTGAAGAGCACACTTGCCACTGTGGATGCTATGAAAGAGGCGAAGAAAGAGATGGAGAAGGTATATGGTAAAGTGGATATCGATAAAATTGAAGATATGCAAGATGACATGCTTGATCTGATTGAACGAGGTAAAGAACTACAAGAGGTTCTAACCTCTGGGTACGACGTTCCGGATGCGATTAGCGATTCTGAGTTGGACGCAGAGCTCGATGCATTGGCTATAGACATGGAGGATGAAGCCAACGACATCGGCGAGAATGAGACCCCAAGTTATCTCAGTGAAGTGCCCAAGTTCATTGACGAACCTGTTGGTGAAGAAAAGGCCAAAGAGGCTGCTGTTTGAAGAAAGAAGGGCACTGTGTATTGTTTCACCAATCTATAGTAATGACGATGGTATGGTAGTATTCTTATGTACATGAGATATCTCCATTGTGAACTCAGGAAAGTCTTCTGACAGCTGCTAAGTAGTTGCCTGTGGTTCCGTCACCACAGAATACCCAGCCTTTGAAGGGGACGTACATGCACCCTCTTACAGATACAACTTCAAAGCCCGGACGCTTACCAATCCAATCAACGAGCTCCTTAGAGTTGATGTACTTATCAAACGAATGTGTCCCCTTTGGGACGATCCCAATCAGGTGTTCAGCAACGAGAATCGTTGTAAAATAGGAAATCAAATCCCTGTTGATAGTGCTGAGGAATAACCATCCGCCAACTTCAACCTTGTCAAGTGCCTGTATCAGCACTTCTGCCGGGTAATCAACGTGCTCTAGCATCTCCATCATAGTAACAACATCGTACTTTTCCTGGACCTGGTCCACTGGCTTGAGCTCGTATGTAATCTTGCGCTCGGTGATTGGGTCTAACAACTTGTGGAAAGACGCAGCCTCCAGCACACCAGGACTGAGATCAACACCCACAACTGACTTGATGTAGTTCAATCTCGCGAGTGACTCGGTCAAGATGCCGCCACCACATCCAATGTCGAGAGCTCTAAGGTTCGCTTGCTTCAGCTGTTCGTCTCTATACGTCTCCTGTTCATGGACAATCTGTTGAGAGATCTCGCTAGGGAGCAGGTCCAGCGAGTACCCAGGAACGTAGATGTCCGTCTCCGGCGGAATGGGGACGTACGAGCGAAGCATCTCTTGGATAAAGTCCATACGTAACAGGTTCATCTTGTGTAGGATCCTCTGAGGCCCTGACACGTCCCACCATGTCTTGGCCAGCTCGTTGAAATGGGACAGCTCGTCGCTGGAAGAGGATGTCAGGTGCGAGTGGAGCCTCTTTGCACTCACTAAGCGTGCTATGCCACTACATCCAACCCTAATTGGCCGTGTGATGATCATCTCTGAGCTCGTTAGTTTGTTGTTGTTTATGTCCTTTCAGTGCACTTGATTTGTTTACATTTTTTTTTGGTTTTGCTAGCCGCTGAGCTTTTTTACCCACGGCGGCCCAACCTTTACAAAAATCAAAACAAACCACAAAAACAAAACATCAAAACAAAGAGCAGCGTGGCGGAAGGAAATGGATAAGGAGCTGCTAGTTAACACGAGAAAGAAGAGGGCAAATGCCGGCTCACGGCTGAAACAACTGCTCTCTGCTGAGGTTCCGGAGGAAGATGTTGATTTGTTGTTTGTGGAAGATGAAGACGATGTTGAATATGGTGAGGAAGAACAGGATGAAGAAGACGATGAAGATGAAGAGGGTGAAGAAGCGGGAGAGTCTGAGGGAGGAGCTGCTGGCGAGCACACGAGAGAAGGTACTACTGGGGCTCAGGCTGATGATGAGGGATCTGAGGATGAAGCAGAAGGAGAATCGCAAGATGACGATATGTTCAGTGATTCGTCTGAAGAGTCGTCCGAAGAAGATAGCGATGCTGGAGAGAAGGAACTAGAGAAACAGGAAAGGGTTCAGCGGAGCAAGAAGAAACATGTGATACAGAAGATTAGGCAGCCTGCATTGCCCAAACCTAAGGTGAAGAAGGTTTACGAACGTGCCAAAGCTGATTCTCTACTGTCCCAGAATCGTCGTCAATCGTCGAGAACCATTGCTGTTCAGAACAAACTGGTGCTTGCAGAAAAGTTGCGAGATGAGGAGAAACGGAGGGCCAGTGCCAAACCTGTGGTTAGAGTCGAGTATAGAGAGATGACTCAGGAAGAGAGATTGGCTGAGGCTATCGAGACTGAAAAGTATAACGTTAGTACGCTAAACAAGTACCAAGAACAAGAGGTCGATAAACAGAAGAAAAGACGTGAACAGATGATGAACAAGAGAAGGAAATTGACGGATGTTATGACTATAAAGACGTATGTCAAATACGTGGAGATTGAAGAGGAACGTGAGTTGGAGAAGTTCTTGTTGACTAGAGATGTACTGAAGAAAAGAGAGCGTCGTGGTAGAAGAAGTGAAAGACAAAAACGTGAAGAAGAAGAGGCACTCAGGAAGGAAAAGGAGTTGAAACATCGTTGGGAATTGTTGAATAATCCTGATAAACCCGCAATCCAAGTTGAAAACGAACCTATTTCATCCGTCCAAGACGAGTTGAAGGCGAATACTGAAACGCAAGATGCTGTCCAAGTGCTTACAGATGGAGATAATGACGTTGACATGAAGGACTTAAACCCTAATGATGTGTCTTCTAAACCAAACGACATATTGAATGGATCGAATAGTGACTTGGAATCTAAACAAGGAGATGAATCCAACATTAAAGATGAAACTCTGAGAGAAGAGGAGAAACAACACAAAGAACAACCTCTAGAGGAAGAGAAAGAAGACCATGCGGTTAATATTGTTAAAGAAGAGATGCATGAAGGAGATGAAGACGATCTGGAAGGTGCGAAGGAAAATATTGACGTTGTGAAAGAAGATAGTAACGAAGATGTTAAGGATGATGCAAAGGATGATGTGAGGGATGATGTGAAGGATGATGTGAAGGAAGATGTGAAGGAAGATGTGAATAATGATGCGAGCGGTGGTATGAAAAAGGATCTGCAAGAAGAGACTAACAATGAGACCAAGGAAGACAAACCTGAGAACAAACCTGACGATGACATTGAAATGGAATCTCAAGATAAGACTTATTCACAAGAATCAAAAAATGATAATGACAATAATAATGACGGTGATGTTAAAGAGATGAATACGGGTGAATTAGATGTTGACAAATCAAATGATCAACCTCCACTCGAAGGAGATAATCAAGAAGAAACAAAGACACAACAAGAAGGTGGATCCCAGGAGTCAAAGGAGGACACCAAAACATCCCAAACAGATGATAAATCAGTGTCATTAGACGTATCTGAGCCGATTATCTATGAAGGTCCTAAACAAAAAGTTGGTGTTAACGTCATTGCATTTGAGCACAAATATTCGCTCTTAAAACTACGATCCCTCATGTTTGGCGACCAGTCTACTATGCCTCTGAATCGTCGATCTTTGGAAACGGAGCCGGTTGCTCGCATCAAACTGGATCCAGATCTGTTGAGTGAAAGATCTATGATCAATACATCCATACAACCAATAGATTTCTCCATCTTGGATACGTTTCCCGAGTTTGGTGACTTCAACAAGAAGATCAAGAGGGTTGAAACTGTCAAGGAGGTTGAAACGACATCGGTTGTGTTGAAAACACCTCCTCCATCGGGAATCACGCTGAAGAACGGTAATAGGAAGATGTGTCTCATCACAGGGAAAGATGCCATGTATTTCCATCCCGGCACAGGTATGCCTTATTCCTCAGTTGAGAGTTTCAAGGTGATCAACGATGTTCAAAACGGAGAGTACAAGTGGGTCGAAGGTTGCTTTGTCAGCAACTACCATGCAAAGGGAGTCCCAAAGAACTTTGATCCATAGAGTCGTTATACAAATGACTACCACATGTTGTTTATAAAGAGGCACTGTTTCTATGATGTATGTACGCTATATATGGCTTTTCCTTTTTATACCGTGTTCTGCCGTTGCCTCCAGCAAATCACTCGTGAGCAACGTTCTTCAACTGCAGATCCTCCTCTTGTGACTTGATAAGGTCCTCTTGGAACTGCCAAAGGATCTTTTGGATCTCTGGCACAATCTGTGATTGAACAAGAGCCTTGGTGGATCCGAAATTAGAATACTCATACTCATATTCCTGCTCATCATGGATGAACTCTTTGACCTTCAAAGTACCTGTGGTCTCCTCGGACTGGAGCGTGATCTCTAAAATCATATCATAGATACAGATCACCTTGCCCTTTCTGTTGGAGACATCACAGTCACCGGTGACATTGACGTTTGTGATCTTGAACTGGTTGTTGGACAGCTCCAGCTTTGGCAACTGCGTTGCAAAGTATTCCTTTGCCCATGGGAGACAGTTCTTATCGACCCAATGCCAGTTGTTAGGGTTGTGCACCACCATCGTCTTGTCCTACTTGATTTGCTCTGATTTATACTAAAGCTACAATTCTGAGTTCATCATGAAAGAAAAAGGTCATAAAACGTTGGCTATCGAATTTTCCAGAAAAGTTTACGCGGTGAAGTGCTTCTTTTTTCCCCTGTTTTCGGGCCTTGGTTTTGGTTTCGGGTATCTGTTTTTCGGACTGTTCCGAAATAGTGAGAATCTGTGCTTTAGGCGTTACTCTCAAATGGGTTACGAGGATCCATTTCAACCTCAAGCAGGACACTTCCGGTCGACCTTGCTGATCTTGTGGATCTGGCATCATCGTCACTGTCTAGTTCATCGTCGTCGACGATGAAAGGATCGTAATCCTCTGTCAAGACCGTGCTCTGGTCTCTCTTCGTGATGACGCTTTGACTATCGTCCTCTTCAACTTCTTCGATGAGGTCATCGTCGATAGGCGCAAACGTAGGCTTCCGTTGACGATCTATGCGTACACTTCTCACGCCACCCAGCTGCTGGGCATTCACAGCGGTGGACGGAACACCGTCGAGTCCAGCTCTCGGCTCCGCGTCATGGCTCAGATCCTGGTGATGACGGCTCCCAGTGACGTTAACCAACTTGGGCGTCGCCCGTATTGCAGTAGTGGTGAGCGACGGGTTGCCCACGATGCTCACCTTGGAGAAGCGGTCGCCCCCGGTGTCCTGGGAGTCCACCGTGACTGTGGAGTCTCTTGAATTCTTACCAATAGTGACGCCTGGGATGTACGCGATGGGAATGATGTTGCTTGCTCTTGTGAACATCGTCGTGGCCATACTTGTCCGCTGAGCAGGCTTCTCCAACTCACTAGGGTCGTGTGGACGGTGGTGGAAGTTGATCTCCACGTCGTCGTCAAAGTAATACTCCTTTTGCCTCACCCTGTTGAAGGCAACCTTCTTCTTGTAGTACAAGAAGTAAAAGGCGAACAAACACAGCAGCAGCACAGCTACCCCGCCAATAACACCACCTGTGATTCCACCAACACTGACACCATTAGAACTGTCCGTTTGCGTCCCTGATTTCCCGTCAATGCTCTGGCAAACGGTCTGTGGACACTGGGTACACGTCTGAATCGTCAACACGCACTGCTCACCATCAGGACAGCTGGGACACGTAGGGTCCATCGAGGCACACACAACACATCCTGAAGAGTCCGTTTCTACGCTCTGTGCACTGCTTGAGGAACTCATTGGCTATCAAACGTTCGCTGGAAGCCTGTGAATGGTAAGAAAAGGTGTGGAAATGGGTAGAAATGTTTTACCGTGCTATGTACGCCGATGCCCTGTGCACGTGACCAGCATGTTTAGTGGTACGCGCAACATAAATCGGAATGTTGCTACACGGCGTCGGAATTGGCAGCTTACACAGTGTGTTCTATACATGCTTCGTTAGACGTATACACTTGTTGTTCACAGGAGTCTGAGAGTCTTGATCTGCTCCAGGTGGGCTCTGTCGATCATATCGAACACCGTTTCAACGTCTCTGGGATCCAATTGCAGCTCTTGCAACAATGGCAGGCCCTTGATGGTGGCCTTGAGCTCGCTCATCATGGCCTTCACCTCTTGTCTTCTCTTCAGCCCGATCTCGTCATCCCTCAGCTGTAGCAACAGCTGTGCGTTCCACTCCTTGAGGTCGTTTATGTCCTTCTTCTTCTTCTTCTGGAGCTGAGCAGCGTTGTTGGTGAGAAGGATCTGGATGCACTTGGCCGTGTCGACGAGGGTGATTTGTCCATGGTTCATCTTCCAGCATGGTGAAGCGTGTACTTTCGGGACTGAGTCGTACTGGGACTTGACGTTGCCCAGCTCACATCCACCATTGAGGAATCTGTTTAGCACAGTGATTGTGTGGATCTTCCACGCTTCAAACTCGGTCAATGAGCCCAGCTCCAAGGGCTCAGTGTCGGTGGCACCGTTGATAATGGCCTCTAACGAGTCCATCGCAGCGTTGTACTTGTCATCTGTGATGGTTTCCAGGAGCTTGGTTTCCAAGCTCTTCAACGGCTCATCTATACCAAAGTTCCAAAAGATGGACATGTCTCTATTGTCGTACTCCTTCACAATCTTGACCTTCTTGTAATCGTGTGACAACGATTTGTCGTTCAGGATACGGCCCATCTGGACTCCTTGTAGTGCCAGATGTCTCTTGAGGTAGCTGTTGGACAGTCTGTTCTGGAACTCTAGCATCTTCTCCAGCTTGTTATAAGAACCTTTGTTGAAGCCAATCTTTGTGAAGTAGAGAGATTCGTAGTCATTGGACTTATAAATCTCAACAGCAGCCTCCAGCTGGGAGATTGAAGGATTGAAGCTGGCACAGCGTGACAACAAGTAATGACCCAATATATCCTTTTGGACGTTTTTGATGTTTAAAGAGTCATAATGTTGAGTAGCCAACGATGGACAATTGATCAAGTTGTACAGCTGGATTAGCCATAGACGAAGATGGAATTCGTGTTCATCCTCAGCAGCAGCCATCTCCAATATGACTATACTGCTCAAGATCGACTCAATGGACATCTCTTGCTGGGAAAGCCAAGACTGAACAATCAGCAGGATCAGCTCAGAAGTTCCACTTGGATCCGTCTTGACCTTTGATCTGTTCAAAGGTTTATAGAAGTTGTATAGCTTGATCAGTTCGCTCGTGGTTGCACTGTCTTCAAAGAGCTCTCTGTTGAAGTATAGCTTGAACTTTTGGATGTTCAGATCAGTTGTCAGGCCCTTAGCTCCCTTTGGAATCTCCAACTCTGCCAACCACTCCAAGATTCGATCCTTGTTCAAATGACTCGAGTACTGCTTCACATCGAAGAACGAGCACGGCTTGGATATGAAGTTGCTCAGGTACTTGATCACAGAATCAGTCACATCTTGATTCTTTGCAATGTCATACTCCACTGAAGCCAGTTGCGAGTTTCTGGAGTTGAACATGCCAATGACCGAAGAGACATCCTTATCCAGCTTCAGCCCGGATTTGATCAGGAGTTTCCAAGTGTCAAAGTCATCCAGTTTATAGTCAAGGAGGATTTTATAACTCCAGGAGTATAGCTCATCCCATTGTTCCAAGTTGTCCAACGCTTTCAACAGCAAGATTTGTAACTCCAAATCCAACTTGTCATCTTTGGAAAAGCTCAGGATCTCTTCAACCACACGTGACTGCAACCCATTGAGCTCTAAGAGCTTGGCCAGCACGTAGACCTCTTGTTCATTCTTCAAAGGCTTCAATGAGTCCACAATCTTCAATCCCAATTTCGGGAAGAGGCTCTTCTCCAGCGCAGTGGCTTCACCATGGGTTGCGGCCAGGTAACAGGTGAAGCCACTCCACAAGTGGAAGATCCTCTGGCTGGGCTTCAGCTGCTTCAGTGCAATCGACGCTTTCTGCATGATACGAGGGTTGGCCGTGTCACATCCTCGATGGAACCACGCCAGTAGGGTATCCACCGTGGGATACTTCTTCGCAGCCATCTCATACACCCTCTCGGCATCTGCCGTCATACCAACGGACTCGAACATCTCAGTGAGCAGATCAATGGACTTGGGATCGTTTGGAGTGGTGCTGTCCAGTATCTTCTGGCAATTGGAGATGGCATCGTCCCTTCTGCCCATCTGTAGCAAGACATAATTGTTCAACACCTGATAATACGTCGATTTGGGGTACTTCTTCAGCAGCTTCTGAGCCTGCTGCTGCGCATACTTGAACGTCCCACTATCGCACGCATCGAGGATCTCCTGCTCTTTGGAAGACATCGCTCAGAACCTCCAATTGATGGGTATATCAGCACCGTGAAGTGGAAGCCATTGGGCCATTGGAGCCGATGAAGATGATTTAGTACCCGTTGAGGTGGTTGGCGCCACACGTTTTTGAAGACAGGGTAACCCGTCGCCCTTCGCTTATTTGCCCGGAGTATTTTTGGCAGAGCTCATCGCATGTGGTGTCCGGGTGTTGTATAAAGTACAATTTTTTTTTGCCTCATTGCCTGCTCGGGCCCCAGTAGTGAAAAATTTCTCCCTGCGATAAATTGGCACTGTCTATACACTGGAAGAGTGTTGAGGTTGAAGTTATCGTTAGTCTTATCATGTCTGCTATATATAAAGTGCTATCTGGCCGTTCGACCAAGGTTGAGTCTGAGAAGAAGTCGCATATCAACAGACAGAGGGTGTTGCTCATCTCCTCGAGAGGTATCACGTACAGACACAGATATCTGATTGGAGATCTGTATTCGTTACTACCACACTCCAGAAAGGAGCCAAAGCTCGATACCAAGAAGCAGCTGACACAGCTGAACGAGATTGCGGAGCTGTACAACTGTAATAACATCTTATACTTTGAAGCCAGAAAGCACACGGATCTGTATATGTGGATGTCCAAGCCACCTAACGGGCCAACCATCAAGTTCTACGTGCAGAACATCCATAACACCGAGGAATTGAACTTCACTGGTAACTGTCTCAAGGGCTCGAGACCTCTGCTGTCGTTTGACAGTGCGTTTGACGACGAGGCCCACTTCAAGCTGATGAAGGAGATGTTCATCCACACCTTTGGCGTACCACCAACGTCCAGAAAGGTTAAGCCCTTCATTGACCATGTCATGTCCTTCTCCATCGTGGACGGCAAGATCTGGGTCAGAAACTACCAGATTCTGGAGCAGGCGGAGGACGTCAAGGACCGTGATGAGAAGGACATCTCACTCGTCGAGATTGGACCAAGATTTGTGCTCACGCCAATTGTCATACTAGAGGGCTCCTTTGGAGGCCCAAAGATCTACGAGAACAAGCAATACGTGTCTCCAAACTTTGTCAGAGCACAGATCAAGCAGCAACAAGCAGAGGACGCTAGAGCAAGACACGACGCTGCCGAGGCCCTCAAGCTGAAGAAGATTGAGAACGTCCTCAAGGTTGACCCGTTGTCCAACGAGGCTCTGTTCAAAGACGATATCTAAGGCTCTACATGGCATTTCCCCTTTTCTTGTGTTTTTAGTTTCCTGAATTCCATAACATTGTAAAAACTTTCCATTTCAACCACTTCTTCCATATATACACCCCCTCCTCACACTCTCTAACTCATCTTTATATGAATATATATAGCAGCTTATAGACAGACAGCACACAGCAAAGCTCAGTGCTTCTCTGCAGCCTTGGCCTCGGCCTGCTTCAAGTAGTCCTCAATGAACTTCTTCTCCTCTGGAGAAGAGGCCTCAATCTTTGGAGTAGGCTTCACAGCAGCTGCAAATGGGTTTGGAATCGCAAGCAAAAGAGCTGCACTCAAGGTACCGATGGCGATTTGGTGAGCTGGAACGGTTCTGCCGAGGATTGTGTAAGCTGAGCCCATTGTATGACGGTTTAAACTGGTTGTCTATGTCCCTTGTTGGCGTTGTTGTGGGAGGAATTCGGCGAGTGTTTTCGTTTTCACCGTTTTCCCCTTTGGGTTGTGCGGTGTGTGGGTTTTTCGTCTCTGCTGCAGTGGTGTTTGCTCGGGGGTTGTGATTGGTCAGTGGTCACGTGTTCATCCACGTGATTGTGAGGGTAGTACACCCGGACACCTTTTAACTCTTCCCCCCTCCCCCCGGCCGCCATTGCCATGGCTATCTCACCACTCAATACCTATCCTTCATATACTCTTCTTCCACCATTGGACGGCACTTCAGGCCCCTCCCCTGCTACTCAGACCCGTGTGAACAAGCCATGGCTCTGTGCCGAGATGTGCCCTTCACCATAAACCAGCTGAGGACGCAGTACCTGAAGACCGTGGACGACGACCAGTCGCATCGCACGATGAGGCCCTATGGCTATGGGCTCCACGATTCGCAGTTTGGTGTGCTGCTGACGAGGATTGAGAGCCCTCCGATACCCATAGACGTTGCCGAGGAGTCCGTGACGGTGAAGAAGCTGGACGAGCTGGCGAAACTGGCAGAGCAGAGCGACGAGGACTCCGAGGCTGCGCTGCAGAGCATTGTGGGTATCAATGCTGCCACGAGCACTGATCACAAGCCACAGAGGGACGATGGACAGCAGCAGGTGCTGCAGAGGCCCAATGGGTTCTTCGACTCGCTGCGTGGGTCGCTGGCGACGCTGAAGCTGAGCGATGGCCATGCGCAGCGGCGTGGTGGTGGTGACGGTGACGGTGGAAGTGGTGGTGACGGTAATGGTGATGACGGTGACGACACCTCTACCGACACAACGCCGGTGATGAACGCTGGTGTGACGCTACACGGGTCATCTGGGAGCACTGCGACGCCTCTGGTGACGAACGGCCGCAACGTTCTCTCCAAGCTGTTCAGGAACTCGACACATGTCTCTGAGAACGACAGACGGCCCCCGACGAAGGGCAGAAACGACGATGACAACGGCGGTGACGGCAGGAACGCCGACCCTGGTGCTGTCCATCACTACAGCGACAGCTATGATGATGACGACAACGACGACGAGACCACCAATGACGACCACGACCACCACGACGACCACGACCATGACCACGACAATGACAACGACAATGACAACGACTACCACCACGACAACGACAATGGCGATGGTGCCGACCACGACCACGACACCACCGCCGGCGACCACCCAGCATCAGCCACTGACGGCGTTGTGCCCACGATCGACACGGGCATCGAGCTCAATGAGCACCCGGGCACCGTGCTCAGCGACCAAGGCATCCTGATCAGCCAGGACTACTCGGACGTCAACAACACCCAGGTGGAGCACTTTGCCCCGGTGGATGCTGATGACGATGCCATGTTCCACAACACGGTATCATCCGGTGATGAGGACCTGGCACTGGACTCAGACTTCTCAGACGACGATACTGAGATGGACGACGCAACGTTCCAGAGTGTCACGGGGAGGTCCGTGATCTTCCCAAGGACTCTGTCAGCAAGGACCCCGACGTTCAGGCCGGCACCATCGAGAAAGCTGTCATTTGACAGGACAAAGCCAAGGATGAAGAGACGGTCTGGCTCTTTGCTTCAGAGAAGACATCCGTTGCAGGAGCCCACGTCGTTGCAAAGCGACCTGAGTGTCGAGTCGGCGTTCGCTGAGATGCCGTCGATGGTTGAAGCTTGCTTCCCGAAGGTTGACGTCGAGCCTGTGCACCCTCACGCTTCAAAGCTTACGCAGATGGTTGATTCCACGCTGAAACGGTCCAACAAGGGCCCACTGGAGCACTTCCTGTTTGTCGATGGTGAAGCTGTGTCGAACAAGTCGGACGTTGTCACCTTGAAGGTCTGGCTTCCGGACGAGTCGAGCTTCGACGTGAAGGTTCGTCGCTCCGTCAGGGTGTTTGACGTGATTGGCTTCATCATCTGGTCGCTGCTGAAGAGCAAGGCTCCGTTGTTTCAGGGAGATGCTGATGAGACGCTACGGAACCCAAACAGGTGGTGCTGCAAGCTCGTTGACGAGGATGGTGAACCGTACGAAGGCTCGTTTGGGCTCATGGATCGCACCAAGATCATTGGCTCCTACGGCGAGGACGAGCTGGCCCTGTGCAAGGTGTCGGAGTCTGACTTCCAGATAAACCAGCGTAGGACCCCGGTGCCTGAGGCTGGCACCGACGCTCTTCCATCGCCCGTGAAGAACCAGAACAACTACTACCGGAGCATCCTGCCACACATCGACAACGACGTGAAGGATGCCAAACGCGTGGAGGTGCAAGTGTACCAGTACCCGTACACTCACAGCTCCAATGACTTCCTGAAGTTTGAGTTCCTCGTCACGGATAAGCTCAACGACATTCTGGTGAAGTACACCTCTGTGAAGAGCCTGATCCCCACAAGTGACTACGTCTTGAAGGCTGTCGGAGAGAACTACGTCCTGGACCTCAACGACTCCCTAAGCTCGCTTGACGAGAACTACACGCTGGAGGTGTTGACCAAGAGGAAGGCGAGGGAGCTCAAGTTCCCGAAGAAGAGGATACTGGACACCAGCACGCTGCCAACGGTCAACTCGAACCTGACACCACAGACCCTGGTGATGAGGCAGGAGCTGCCTCAAGACACCGCCATGGCCACCACGACCGCGGCCACGATGGCCACCACGACCACTGCAGCCACGGTGGCCAGGTCGGCGCGCACTACGCTGGGCAAGCATGCCATTGGAGGCTCGTTCAAGAATAGGAGCCTGCTGAGGCTGAGCTCAGTGGCTGATACTTCTATTGTTCCTAACGACATCAACTCGGAGTACCACAAGTACACGGTGTGGCGTCGGTTGCCCATGTCCTTCATCAATCGTCACGAGCGCACGCTTGCCATTGACGGAGAGTACGTGTACATCATGCCCAATGACGAGAAGCTATGGTACGATACGAATTTCAAGACTACAACGTTCCACGTGAGTCAGATCATGAGCTGTAAAGTGAGTAAAAGGGTGCCCTCGAACTTCAAGATCGTCGTCATGAAGGCCAATGGTCCAAAGAGGTATGTATTTGAGGCTCTGAACAACGCTGAAGCCAAGGAGATCATTGGCAAGCTGAAAACGCTCATGGAGGCTTACAAGATCAACACCTCCTCTGTTGTGTAGGCAACGGCTGGGAGATATACCGTGCCGGCTGTCTAATGTCTTGTTGTCTAATGTCTTGTTCTCAAGTACGTCTTTTCAAACTCCTTCTTCTCCAGCTTGTAGAGCAGCATCGTAGCCTTAGCATCCTCCACGGACGAGTGCTCGCCACCTTGGATGTCCATGTTCAGCAGCTCCTTTGCAAGCTTCTTGAGCCCCGGGGTCTTGCCCTTGGACAGCTTTCTGAACTTGGCGAACCTGCTGGTGTCCCTGATCATGCTCTTTGGATGGCTCAGCAGCAGGGCATCCAGGTCGTGGTCCACAGCGTGGCCCACCAGCACCTTCCCGTCTAGCAGGTCGCTCACCTCCTTCTGTGCGGTCTTGAAGTCTATGGCCTCCTTCATGTGATGAGGTTGGATTCCAGAGACCCACGTTCTCCAGTCCACCACACGCTCTCGAGGCTTCACGTACCTGTCGTACACCGTGTGCCCGTGGAAGTTCACTATCGACACTCTGGCAAGCGCATCCTCGGTGCCCTGAGGCCCAACACCGACAAACTCGCAGTCGATGGCCAAGTACTTGCCTATACTCTGCTTCTGCTTTGACACCGGCTCGCTGGTGTTGATCTTGGAACGCGGGAGGTTGTATGCGTCGCTGAGGTCCTTGGCGGCAATGTCGTGCTCCTCAGCCCACTGCTTCAGAGCCTCCGGGTCCCTCGCGCCGCCCTGTCTCTTCTCCAGCTCATCGTTGATGCTGTCAATCAACGTCTTGGTGCTGCCGCCGTGGGCATCCTTCGCCTTCTGCGACCCTTTCGTCTTCTGCGACCCCTTCACAACCTTGCCCTTCCGGCGCGTCGTCTGGCTCTTCTTCTGAAGCTTGAGCCAGTTGCTTCCTGGTTTCAGTTCCATCTTCATCTTCTCTATCGAATCTCCTAGTCGCTCTGCCTCTCCAAAGTCCGCTGAGACATCTCCTTCAAGCACCGTTCGTGTCCCTAAAATTTTCCTCCCGGCAAAGGCATGCGATGAGGTGGTTTGTGCAGCACCGCTAGCATCAACACTTTGCTTGTAGGGCTTCTACAGGTATGCCGTTAGAGTCATTATTAGAATGATACTTATGAGGATAGCAAAGCAGTGGTTGAGTTTCCATGAAGTATACCAACATGTAGCTCTTGTCCGGATTGAGAGATCTACAAAGTATGAGTGTGTAATCTTTCATACTTTTTGAGATATAACCGTTCATAGTTTGTATGGTATAATCAAGAAAAACGCATAGATTTGCTTATAGCTCAGCAATGAAACAAGAATGGGAAATTCTGGAACAGACATACTATAGAAATGATCTATATTGTCATATAAGCTGACCTTGAACTTGATTGGTTCACTGGCTGTTTTAAAAGAAATCACAGCGTGTGGGATTATATAATTCTGGCTCGTCGTTGCCCTAGCAATCGTGAAAATGTTAGGATGTTTCCAATTTCCGCTGCATTGTTTACATTTTGAATTCTTATCAACACAAAAATGACACAAAACCAGTACAGCTTTATACACAAAAGTAGAAACATCGCCAGAAAATGACCATAAACAAAGGATTAAGCAAGTAAAGAACAATGGCTGGGTTACAACCAAAGAGATTACAAAGATCTCTCATTGTAACCTTCAAAGGACGTCCTCAGCTTGGTGAAGAAACATCGGCGGCTAATCCAGAACCACAGCGGTAACTTCGAACCAATGGAGTAATGATACAACAAGAAGACCGACTATATTGAGGCGGACTAACTGACCTGTTCTGAGAACAAGATATGGGATAAGAGAAACCTTCAAGTTTTGTCACAGAATGCCCATGTAGAGATCACAGACTTGCCACAACAGCCGCCATTAGCTGAGCCATTTCCCGAACCTGAACCTGAACTTGATAATGGAACTTGATACTGGAACTACGGATAATAGAGTAAGAGGTGGACGAAGAATTGCAGCACAGGTAGCCGAAAGAGCATTGGAAAAAATTAGACATGATGGTGCTTTTGATCATGATCCCAACTTTGAACACATCATTGAGGGTGACACCAACGGTTTTAATGAGAGTGATGATCCAGTTTATGAACAACAGCAACAGCGGAGACCACGGAACTAAGTGTGTAATCCAGGTGGTCTTGAAAAGTGCTGCGATTATTGTCATACGCTCCTTATCGATGCAGAACTACCATCTTTTTGTTGTAACACGGACAACGTTTTACTCAGCGACATATTCAAAGAACCTCTACAGTACATGAAGGATATCTTATTGGATCCAACCACGTCCAAATATTCTCGAAAAACCAATACCATTCTTTCGTTATTATCTTTGAGCTCTACAAATACTGGTGAGTCGGGAGGTGAAACTCATTCAATGAGTATCAACGGATGTTTGTTCCATAGAGTTGATGGTATGATAGCTCAAGAAAATGGTCAAGAGAAATTTGCAGAAATTTATACACTAGATCCAGGATTAGCTACAAATCGTCACGTTAAACTACTTAAAGATGTTCTTCAAAACGATGAAGAATATAACAAACTTGAGAACTACATTAGCAAAATTGGTGAATTTCTATCTCAAAACAATCATTATACGCAGATGTTATATACTGCTAGAGAAACTGTTCAACAAGAAATTACAGTGATGGGAATAACAAGCGAAGAAACTATTATTGAATTTGCCAGTATTGAGCCAGCAGTACCAACCAATTCAGAGCATTGTACTTCTCTATTACTAGAGGTTAAAGAGTTTGCCTTGGCAAGACATACTTCAATCTCAGTGCGTATAAAGGAAAGATATACAGGCTGTCTCACTTTTATCAACAGTCTGTACAGAAGTGCATTTTGATCTTTGAGATGTCCTCTTTTAATGAATAAAGGACGAGACAATCCTTTTCATACTAACAGAACTCGGATTAGTATCATTCCAACACATCGACTCCATACAGCAGCTTTCGACTACACATGCGAAATCTTACGTTACAGTTTTACAAGACTCATTTAAGCGTTGATTTCGTTAGTTTCGAAAAATTATCATCCTATTAAATGGAAGGACCAGGCATTAAAGTCAATACCCGACGGGCCGCGCAGCGCAAGTTGATTGCAAAGATAGCGGTGATTCGAGATTTACTGGAGCGTTAGCGAAGGTCCAAATCGCGTTCACCGTACCGATGCCCTACAGATCAATTTGTCCATACTTAGATACATCGATACATAGCAGTATAACAATACAGTGTTGGGGAACAGACGGACACGGTCAGGTCTCCTTCGAGATCTTGCACAGCATGCCCTTCATGATCGACATGCTTGGGTACTTTCTGAGCTCAGCCAAGGTTGCGTTGGAGATGTCGTCCGGTGCGAGGAAGTTGAAGTTGAGGATGCCCTTCAGCTTGAACGTGTGCAGGAACTCCTCTGTGCTGGTCCTCATGGAGCTGTCGTCCTCGTACTCGGGCATTGTGACTGCGATGGCCGCAACGTCGAGAGCCTCGGATAGCAAGTCGCTATCTATGGTGCTGGAGGAGATCATGGCACGGATCTTCATCTTCACCATGTGGTACACTTTCATCAGCAGGGCCGGGTTTCTATGTCCGATGAACTTCAGGATGGTCATGAAACGGAGACACGTTTTCTCGTTGGGGTTTCCCTGGCTGAAGTAGTTTGCAGCTTGGATCAAGGTTAAGTTGGAGGTGTCGGAGTCAGACAGAAGGAAGTCAGCAAGAAGCTTTGGCAGTTGCATCTGGTCATTCAGCACGTAGAAGTCGTCGCAGAGGTCCGTGTCGTCCAGGATTTGACGGAAGTCCTTCGGGTTCATCAGAATAGACAACATCAGCATATAGCACAGGGGAGCCATGTCCATGTGTCCCTGCACTTCTCCCTTGATGGCCTCGTTCATGAACCTGAACTGAAAGAGCGAGCATAGGCTATCGATGGCCGGTGCCTTGGCGTAGGAGAGCTGCAAGCCCTTGATAATGAAGTACAACAGCACCTGGTCAAAGTTCTCTGCGGTGATGTAGACATTGCATCTGCTCTCAGCAAACAACAGCTCATCGCTGAACTCACTCTTTATTGCCATTATGGTACCAATGGTCTCACCCCCTGGGAATTTCTCCTTGATACTCATGCATTCAAGGGTCTTGATCATGAACTTGAGCCCACTTTGAAACAAAGGACAGAAGTTCGTGTACGAGATGAATACCGACAGCCAAAACATGCTTCCAAACAGCTCTGATTCAACGAGAAGGCCTTCGCTTATCTTCTTGAGCGAGAAAACTGCGCATATCAGCAGATAGACAGATTTAGGATCTGAGAGATCCTCGGAGCATATGCCGTGGATATATTTGATGATAGACTTGACAATGATGTCCTCAATGCCTTCCTTAGCAAGGATACCAATCAGGATCAGAGCTCTTCCTCTCAAAACGGAGTCCTGACGACAGATGGAGTCAACTGCGTATCTGTTCCATCTGCTTAACCATACAGCCTTGTCCTCTCTATCACCAGCAACCTCAATCACCTCTAACAAGGAGGCCACGAGTGACTCCAACGAACTAATCCGAGCATTGAACTTTGAGATTTCCGTTGGAAACGAGTCTGGGCTCTCACGGTTCAACCCAAACAGTAGTCTCGATCTGTGGGAAGTGAAATGGCTCACGTTTGAAGCAATGACGTCCTTAGACGACTGTGGAATGCTCTTCTTGGACAAAAAGTTCAACAACACATTCAACAGCAACTGATGACAGCCAATTCTCAAGTCCCGTGGTCCAACATCGATCAGGAGAGTGATGATATGGAAGATATCAGGTAGGAACATCTCTGTGAACAGCAACGAATCGAAGAATAAAGAGACAGCGATGTGCACCAGCACCGTGGCCTGTGTCCATGTGCTCTGTGATTCAAGAGTGTACTTCCCCTTGGCGTTTGGGAAAGGTATGGTTGATAAACCCTTGAGTCTATTCACAACATGCCCGCATATAGCGATTGTTGGGAAGCAGGTCAGGCAGGAAAGAAGGCTCTTCCACTCAGCACCTTCAGCTACTCTGTCAATTGCGTTCAGCACAACTTCGTCAACAAGGAGTCCGCTCAACTCATCATCAAAACAGATCTTTTGGAAAACCAACGAGTTCAAGGTGCTCAGAAACAAAGGATCCTTGCTAGCAAGGTTCAAGAACCCAGAGATCATCTTGGAAGTAATGTCCCTCCCATTCTCAGCGTCTGCCTTGTAAACGTGTTCCGAAATGTTGTAGACCCACGGTGACACGTATAACAGGGCAGCGTGTCTTTGACGTACAGTGACGGAGTCATTGTACACATCGAAGAAAGCAGAGATGAACTCATCGGTCATGGAGGGCAGCGACTTGGCCAGCATGGACGAAAGCTCAAAGACAAACGGATTGTTGTCCTTTGGGAAGTACACCTCGGGGAACTGGACAATCTCTCTGTTGAACTCGAGATGGAAGTGTTTCTGTGAGGCTGCTAAGAGATTGTAAGAGATCGATCTCACCTCATCCGATGTCGACGTCAGTCCTAGGAAAATGACATTGAACAGCTGACCAAGCAGGTCCTCTGGATTCTTCTGTAACTCCTGGTTGAGGTCGCTCTTTTGGTTCGACGTGTAAGCCCTGTTCTTGGTGAAATACAGAAGCCTCATAATCTCCAAATATTTCGACGACGAGATCACCAGCTCCTGACCATCTGTGAAGGTGATTGTAATTTCATTGGGCACTGACGTCTTCTCAGAAATAGCAACGCTTTGTATCTTATCCAGGTGGTAGACATCATTCAGGCTTATCTCCTTCAAGTTACCTCTCAGCATGACTCTTTGCGGTGTTGTCTGAGATATCTGCAAGAACTCGTTACCAATTCTCATGCTCACTGGTATAAATCTTCCCTGGTCGTTCTGGAACAATGAAACATCTGAGAAGTTCACTCTGACATCACTATACGCGTGCATGGCCTGGTTGGAGAGGCTCAGGTTCATGATGGCTTGTCGATCCGAGTTGCCAGAGATGAACTTGAACTTGTCCGATGGAACGTTTTGGAATGACTGGTTCTTCTTCACGGTCTCCATCAGTCTGGGGTATAACCCAGAGGAGACGTTGTAGAAGATTACGGATTCACAGTTATTCCGCATTACATCGGGGGCAAAGTCGCCAAAGATCAACATCGACCTTCTAGGAAATAACGTCGTACCATTGTTTCCAGTACAGTCAATCACGAAGAGGAACTTATGATCCCAAATCTTAGACGCAAGTTGTATCATTCTGTACAGAATGAGCTCCTCGTCAAAGTCCTTTACCCGTTCATATTCGGAATAAGAGAAAACCAACAGTGGCGTGCCATCTTGACTATAGCTCTGGTAAATGAAGGAGTAGTCCAAGAGGTCGCCGAGCTCTTTCGTGGCATACTTGTTCATGAAATCATAGAGATCCGGGTTCGCTTCGGGTGTAATGGATGGTGGTAGCTCGTATCCAAACATCATCGTAGGTTGGCCAGCAGATCTGAGAAACTGGTCAATCTGCCCTGCTATTGTTCTGAAGTACTCCAAGTCAGATGCACCCGAAACGGTTTCCAAGAACTCTTTCCTGATGAGACTCCAATTCTCATACATAAACGTGTGCAGGAAATTGTAGTCACCTTGTTTCATATCACTTGGGACTTTGAACTCGAAGCTCACGTCGTCGTCAACGTGGGTGAGCCTATCCAGGAAGTCATTCAGCTTGGAGTTGAGCTCTAAAAGTTCCGCTTCCCTAGTTCTGAGCAAGGGCCACTTTAGACTGGTAATGGTGCCGTTGGCCATGTTCTGTAAGACCTTTGTTAAGAGAAGATACTTTCTCTGGGTCTGACGGTCGGGAACAATGACAATCTTCTCGGTAGCAGGACTGACAATAGCCGGACAGAAGTATCTCAAGAAGATGAATGATCCAACAGCAATCAATCTCGAGTTGGCAAACTTTTCATCGACAGCTTCAGAAATCTTCTTACACACAAACTTGAACTCCAACGGAATATTGTCGAATGAGTTGATGATAACGTTGACCAACTTGGTAAGGTAATGCATGAAATTCTTCAGGTTTTGCTGGCCGTCTGGATCCTCAAGTGATAGCTTTTCCACTTCAATGTCCGTCTCTGAGTCCCTGATCTCAGTCAGTATGGGTCTCAGCGTTGTCACGAGAGTCTCCAGCCCAACTGTACGACCAAAGGCTGCCAATGAACGACTGGCAAAACTGTTCCTTCTCAAAATATCTGAGTAGCTTGTGGCTGCCATGATCTCCTGCTCCACCAAGTACGAGATCAAATTTGCACTCTGGTTCATGCTGTTCGACAGGCAAAGCGCACACGACGCAAAGGCTGGAGCCTCAAACGCTGGAGCAGCGTTCCCCAGAGCATTCATGAACTTGGGGTGTTTCAACATCAAGTTGAAGATATTGGACACCATACGAGCCTTGCACTGAGGTGTTTCATTTTGCCCCAATTTCGAATAACTGTTGACAATGCTGATGAACACCTTCAAAAAGGAGACTCTTATCGCCAGGTTATTGTAGTAACCAATTGGAAGGGCATACTGGAGACCAACATCAACATTTGACTTCAGTAAGTTCGTTAGACAAACAACAATATTGTCGGACGTTGTCTTCACTTTATGTCTCATGGAAACAGGGAAGTCTTCGGTAACGCTGAATCTCTCCAATGCTTTCAAAAACGTTCTGAAATAAATGCTAAAGAGACTTGACTTTGAGTATTGCAACTCACGGATATTCAGCACTTGCTGGGCCTCCAAGACAAGGTCTTCGAGAGCTAGAGACAGAGCGTTCGAACTCTCAATGGCAATATCCAGATACATATAATCCCAGTCCTTTGATACCGTAGCAGCAAGAGTCTGCTTATGGAACTTTGACATGCTGGAGACGGAATCGTCGAACCAATTGTAAACGTATCTGAGAAACTTGTTTCTGATCTTGTATGCGCTTCCCGTGATGAGCTGGCTTCTACTCTTCTCAACCTCTGCAAACAGCATGGACAGTCTGATTTTTAGCTTCAGAATAGTGTCAGAAGTCTTCATGGCGTCCACAATAGCAGATAGCTGGTCAACAGCCTGGAGTATATCAATGGAGCATCCAAAGATAACGAGATCGCTACCCTTGTTCAAAACAGCCTTGATCAGCGCAATGATATGGTCAATGATGGTCAAATCCCTCTCGGCTAGAGTGCTAGAGTTGGTGTATAACGTCTCAACAACAGGTGTCAAGAGACGAACCATCCGTGGATAAGTTTTAGGATTGCACTCAACTGCGAGAATCTCTCTGGCATTCTCTCTTGTCACCAAGCCGTCTTCACGTAGCAAGGAAAACTGGTGGTCGATGAAGGTGTCTATCTTGTCTCTGATATCGGAACGGATCTCTGGCGTGTACCAGGGTTGGCAGGCGATCTCCTCATCACAAAAGATACCCGATATGGCTGCAATGAATGCTGCAAAGTTTCTGAAGTTTGCCAGTTCCGTCTGGGTCAATTCGTTGTAATCCACCAGTGCAAATTGACGCCATTTATCATATATTTTCAGCCATGCAGCGATGAGTGACGGCGTGGGATCTGTTAGCTTGAGGAAGAACTTACGAGTCACCTTCTGTAGAGCAACTGTACCGGTGGTGAAGGTGCTGTCGTTCATCACGGAAGCATAGAAGGCGAAATTGGATCGTATCACCTCCGGTGATTTACTCTTGTCGAGTTCCTGATAGAATGCCTTGTAACCCTTCTTTGTCAATCCGTATGTTTCCACACTTGGAATGCAGAGAATGAACAAGAGTGCCTGGTCAATGGGAGACATCAGCTCCGTGTAGATGTCATATTCCCATTTGATAATATCTTTGAATGACGAATGATGGACCAGCAAGCTGTACAAGTTAGTTCTGTACTCTAAAATCCTGACAAAGTGTTCCATGATGTGCTTTCTTGTGTTCACCGAGGAGCTCAGGTTCAAGATTGATCGAGCAATAACGTTTCCAATCAAGGCAGCACCTGTATAACTGCTAGCCACTGCCTCGTGGTTATCTGAGATTGTCGTCACAGAGACAAAGCTCTGGATGAACTGCTTAGCAGCAAATGACAACTTGTTATTGGAATCCCTCAGGGCAATGACAAGAGGATCTAAGAACAACGATGCATTCTCAACAAGGGTTATCAACTCCACCTGAGAACAAACCTCGCCACTGGCGAAGAAGTAAGAGTGTGGGTTCTTCTTGAAGATATCAAAACCATTCAACAGTATCTGTCTAGGAACAGATAACGCATTGGTGTCTTTATCAGTTAACGACTTTGTGTCGTCAGAAGAGTAACTATTCGCATGCATAGAGGATACATGGTTCGCTGAGTGATGATGTTTCAACAAGTTCTTAGCAGACTCTCTGAACTTATCTGCTTTTGCAGTAGGTGTGGACAACGCTGAAGATGAGTTTGAGCCCAGTCTCGACAAGTCCCCAGGGATTGGAGTCTTGGCCTCTGAAGCAATCAATGATCTGTACTGATAGTTGTCAGTACTCGATGCGCTTGAAACTTTGCCCAAACTAGCTGTCTCGTCATCGTCATTTAGCGTAGAAGCATTAAACGAGTTTGATTTCACCAATGCCCCCATTCTGATCATCACTTTCCTCAAAGATGGCAGCATTGCGGACAGCTGGCTCTGGTGAGCACCCAGCCACACGGGATTGACAGAGAATTGTCTCAGAATGGAACAAGTGATGTTCAGTGTATCCAACTGGCAAGATTGGTCGTTCAGTATGTCCACCAGGATAGGGATGAAGGTCTTTGAATTCATAATGCACATGCTTGTATAATAGTCCATTCTTGTATGGTTCAAAAACGCAGATTCCACAGTTGAAGGGTTGAACAACGTTGGTGAAGACTTGGTGATGTTGATTGGCACGAGAACCCTGGAGACAATGTGATACGTCTCTAACGTATACTGCACTGCAACGTTGTTTGGGTCATAGGCGTAAATGGAAGATGCAACCTGGGCAATTGCCACAACAAAGTCCAGGGATTCGAGCATCGACACGTTATCGGAACTGTCCTTCAATTGAGATTGCTCCAGCACTTTCATGACATTCGTCAGGAACTTCTGCTTCTTATTGGTGCCGAAGTTTGTAAACTTCTTCAGCGTGCTGTTCTTAGAGGGTGTTGATCCTTCAAGGTATCCCTGTAAGGCTCGTGGGTTCAATGCCATCAAAGTTCCAATGAACTTGAAATGGGATCTAAATTGTTTCCCTGCACTTTGATTCTGGCCCGTTTTCGTCAACGTGGAGTCTGGCAAGGAGAGCATCTCGTCAAAGAGTGTTTCTGCTTCAGTGGATGCCTTCGAATCCTCCTTTGAAGAGTTCAAGAACTCCTGGGGCCTCGAATAGATCCAAATCTTTAGCGACTTGGTGAAGAACGACAGCACTAGCTGACGATATGCTGGCTTCCGAACCGTTGTCATGATGTGTCTGATATGCTTCAAGTAGAGATAGAACCACTGTTCGTCCAAGTAAACCGAGGCAAAGAGCTCCAGGTAAGGAGCAAACTCGCTATCGTTACCAATGTTATGCTTCAACACGGATAGCTTTGAGACTGTGAACTCATAGAAGTCACGAACGTTAGCTGCACCGAGATATCTCAAGATTGCTTCACAGTTCAGATCAATTGCGTCAAGGTGTGTTCTGACAGCGACATCCTCGCATAACGGTGGTAACGGTAATGGTTTCCCGTTTATCAATGACAACTCTTGTGCCAGTGTGTTTGTTGATTTGAGCCTCGATACGAGAAGGATTGCCCTTAGGGCAACCTGTGAATCGATCTTGTCTGGTGGGACAGAATGGTAGTCAATGGCTGCGCTGCCCAGTCCAACGGCTGTGCCGCTTGACGACGACGACTGCGCTGAGTGGGAGGACCCCACTGAGTTCTTCCGTACCGGCGTGTCCTTTGAGTCCCAGTTGGACTTCATCAAGTCCGCAAGCAACCGCAGAATGATCAGCATCGATGCCAAACTGGACACCTCTCTCTGTCTTAGAACCAGATAGTTGTCGTGCTGGTTAATCCTCTCCAGCAATCCAGTAACGTGGTGCACAATGCCACTCATCAACTCTGACGACGACATGGCCACGAGTGACTTGCGTACGCTGAGAAAGAGTTGGCATTCTTCAACCTCAATCAACGTCTTGTCCGATTCAATCGGCAATAACGAGTACAGCTTCTCAAACACATTCTCCAGGAGCGACAGGTTCTCCAGGCTCCTGGCCACCGATTCCGACGGTGGCTTTGATGACGGTATCATTGTAGACATCGTGATGTCTCTTCGTCCCTCTCACTGAGCAGCAGAGTGGTTCAACAATCCGGGGCAAGCTGCAAAGAGTGCCAAATGAGCAAAGTAGGGAAAGGGCCAAAAAGACTGCGCAAAAAGCCCCTAGTCCAACAACAAAGAGAGCCTGTGATGATCAGACTGCTGTAGATGTCACTCCACTACCGTTTCCTTCCCTCCTTGTTCGGTCTAGAAGAGCAGGCTGTTCAAAGGTGTCTATTAGACCTGTTTTCTGTGATCAATTCTGAGGTAAAACAAAGCCTCTCTCTGCTCTTCTTGTAGTGCTGGCGAAGACCTTGCGTTTGTTTACTTCGATCCCACTTGTTTCACACAGCAGAGACTGTTATCGATTGCTGTTTCGTTTGTATGTGAGTGTTGTTTGTCCTTCGTCTGTATGCCCTTAGTAACCGCTTGTGGGTTTCCTGGATTTCTTGTTGGTGGGCTTTGTCCCTCAGGGCCAAGGGGACTTTTCTTTTTGGGTTTTTCTCTTTTCTTTTTCTGTGTGTGCTGGACGGGACTGGGATTTCGGGACTAGTCGTTTATTTCTGTGATGATCGTATCGCCGATCGCCAGGTTGTGTAGCTCGCCGATTCCCGGCATAGCTTGTGGGTTGTGCGAGTCCATAAGGGCTTCTACGGGACAGAGGAATCCTTGCTGGGGGACTAGTGCCCTACGGAGGACTGCTGTTTCTGCGGAGTGGGCTAGACGGTGTGCAGCCTATGTGGTAAGCGTAGTGACTCGTGGTCTGGGTGTGGACGTTGGTGTCGACCGTCAGCTGAGCTCACAGCCTTTACTTGGGTCCCAAGCCCAGCAACTTGTCTACGCGGTGCGCGCGCGCGCGCGTGCAACGGCGTGATTTCCTTGTCTAAAATATTATTATTTCGGTGTAGTGACAGCGATAGTTCATGGGACAAGAATCTTGGGACAAGCGCGCGCGCGTGCGCTGGCCGTGCAAGGCCGAAAAGTCTCGAAACGGTTTTGATATCCAACGCAGCGCTGGCAGAAAGTCCCAACGGCCCAGCGCAGATGGGCGATGATCATTGATACAACGACTATCGGTAAGGGATTCCAGTGGGCGCTATGGAGGATTTCGTGGCAGGATAAAACGTATATTATCCTTACAAGACTGGGTCAATTGGCCTCCCCGGACCACGTGCAAGTGGCCTTGTATCACACCGGCCAGCTTATCGTACTGTGTCCACACACCCCTGACTCAATTACCCGGGGATTTAGTCTCAGACGCTATTTCCACGGGACTAAGATAAAGTGCCACTGCGCGCAAATGGGACTAGCCTCCCAGAACGCACTATTCACCGCCAAATACTATCGCCTATCAATTGGTACTGGAATAGCAGGAATGGTAGACTCTACAACACAGCACAATCCGATATCGCGTCGTGATGGTTTAGACAACCCTGGTTTTCCCTCACTCGTGATACCTCTCCGTTCCTATCTCTCTCTGCTGATAAGTCCCACCGTTTGGGGACTTTATCAGTCCCCTTCTGCAACCTTTTCTTTTCACCAAGATGAGCCTGGACATCAGCTCAACTCTTCACCTCTGGCCGTACAATGCGCCTCGCTAACCGTTGGGTTGTCTGGCTGCCTGCCCTGCTGCTGCTGTTGTTTACCATAGCCGTAACGTCTTCCCAGGTGAGTTGCCCATGTCTTCAGATTGCCTCTAACGATGTATTATTTGACCCACCAATACATAGGACAAAAGACCATGTGGGCTCGCTCCAATTCTCGCACTTGTCGCACTTCTCAAGCTCGTAAGCATTGCACAATGCGTGTCACTCGTGGTAATGAGACCATAGCCACTGAATGATCTACATGGCTAAAAACTGCTCACAACTTTCAATGGCTCTCCTCAGGCCCAAGGGCGTAGACTGGGTCTCGGACATGTCTGCTGAGGCCAAGGAACCCTAATCTCAACGGAGAATACATGTCCCGGGTCTAGCTCCACATCATACTATTAGATTAGCTCAAAGAAGTGGTGCGCCGTTACAGTGCACATCGTTGGAATCAGGGAATATGACCGTTGTAACTGTGTGCCTTGCTCTGATCTCCTACAGTTCAATGCTGTCTGCTAGAGTTCTGATCCGAGACTTTGTAGACATGGCTTTCAGACCTTGGGGACAAATGCACAGCAGCCCGTGCTATTCATTATCGGACAGAGTCACTAAGAGTACGTTACCGAGTCCTTGTTTATACTTCCATGCTATCTACATGGATCCACGCCGTGGAGTTCACGGTGTGTATGGTGGTGGTATTGTGATGCTTCCAAGGAACTCGGCCAAGTCCATTGCGCCCTAGTCCCAGCTGCCTTGAGTTATGCTTTAACAGTACTTCTACATATTCCATGGAAGTACACGCGCAATTGGGTGTGAAAACAATCTACAGACTCAAAAGAGTCTCAATCGTATCGCTAATAGCTCCATTCGCTATAAACACACCCGTTGTTACTTCTCTGCACACCTCTAAACGATATACACATACAATATAACTCCACCGTAAAATGCCATATCCTCCGCTCCCAAAATAACTCCACATAAAACCGGTATCGTCCAGCATCAAGTCGATACGTAATGGACAAAGAGACTACACATCGTTCCAGACATTGCGATAGGTGAAGCACAGATCAATGGAAAACATAAGGTAAATGCATCATCAAAAATTAACAAACAAAGTAAACAACACTAAATTAAACAAACCATCATTTTTTGACCCCAATATGTATACTATCCAATCTTGGTACAAACCACATCCTTCATGATTAGTCCAATTTAGACACAACTTCATTCCATGAGCTGTGCTTGCTTCAGACGAGTCCTGAATTCAATACTGTTGTTGTCACAATCTCTGATAATATACTAAAAGAATTTTTTCCTTTACTTTCATATGGTAGACAAACTTAGAAGTTCAACTTAGTGAAGAACCATTTGCTCTTACCAGATTGGTACTTTTGTTCGAAATCTTTCTTGATGGCCTTCTTAGCGTTCTCTCTGAGGGTTGGCTCGGAGAAAGTCTCGGTGGACAACTCGCTCTTGAAGGACTCGACATCCAAGGTGTAACGGGTTGGCAACAAGTGGTTGTAGTTGACAACCTTGATGAATGGCTTGACCTTGGATCTCTTAGCAGCCTTCTTAGCACCGGCAGACTTACCAACCTTGCTTGGGTATCTCTCAACACCGGCAACAATGGCGTGTGGGAATTGGTGAGCCTTGGAACCCTCGTCGTGTGGTTTCACAATGACAACCTTCTTACCGGCGTAACGACCTCTGACGACAATAGCGACTTTACCAGACTTGATGAACTTAGCCATTTTTGTGTTCTAATTCGTGATCTACTCTGTGATGGTGGAACCAAAAAAGCCTGTTAAGGGATCTGAATTACTTCTTTCATCAAAAGATGCCACACAGGTTTAGTGATTATTTCACTTTTTGGAAAAAAACCAGAGTCCCTCGGTTCATGTGGCGCCTACCACTGTTTACCACTAACAAATGACGAAAATTGCAACTTTTGTGACAAATTTGTTCCCATCTGCGTGTCCCAAACCAATATTGGGACGATTAACCCAAACATCTCTAGAGCCCTGTTATTGGATCACGTGATATTAAATGTTTGGTAGCCCTAATATCACGAACTCTTCGCCAACGTCATCGCTCTTTAGTCAAAAGGCCTACAATGGAAGCAAATCAGATGGAATCTCACGTGCGATTCAAATCGAAACAATCATACTTGTTATAAAACATGTGATTGTCCTTTTTATTTAGTTATTACATGTTTTCTCCCACTGTTGAGCCAAACAGGTGGTTTTTCAATTACGCTTCTTCCTGGAGCTTCTAGCCAATAGCCTAGAGTTCAACCCGGTGATTAGTCGTGGACCCGTATGGCTACGACTCTTTGATGTCGAAGAAATTGAAGAGTTCGAATTCTGGCCATTCCCATTTTGTGCACTGGTTGAGTCATCTGCATGTTCTATCCCTTTTGGAAGTGGCAATCCATGAATCAAGTGCTTAGACTCTGGTATGCCCTTTGTAGGGATAGGTTTCCCTGTTTTTCTAGCAACAAGTTCCTTCAGCATACTAGGATGCTTAACAGGATGGCCCGAAGTGCTCTCCAGATTACGCACTGGGGATGGTGGTTGTGGTTCAAAAGTTTCTGAGGCCTTAAGAGGAGGTGATCCAACTGCAATTCTTGCAGCATTATCAGCAGCTGTGGAGCCAAACTTTGTGCCGGCATCACCACTCGGATCTTGTTCAAATCTCCTCCGTGTAGCCTTATCAACAACGGCTTGACGTGCCTCTTCTAAAGCCTTTGTCCACGATGATACCTCGGTTTGTTTGCCTTCGAATCCAAACGCTTTGTTATAGGATTCAATAACAAAAAGGGATAAAGAATCAGAATTGGCACTTGAAGGTAAAAGCTCCTTAACTTTAATCACGGGATATTTCATGTCAATCTCTGTACGTAGCTCGATGTTCTTTGCAGAGTCATCCCCTTCTGTTTCAACTTTGTTGAAGATTAGAACCCTAGCATTCGAAGTAACCAAAACAAATCGTATCTTATGGTCATCTTCACCACCAGCAGTGAAGAATTTTCTCAATTTGTTCTTCGTTGTGTCCTGTTGAGGATCTTCCTCTTCTCCATGCGATGTAATGATATCTTTCTCTGCATCTGTTCCGTACTGTTCCATATTGCGCAATCCTCTGTACGACCCATTAGCCACTTGGCTCAACAATGAATGGCCTGTAAATCTATTGTTCCCACCTAGTGGACTGTCAATCAACCGACGTTTATACTTCTTTTCAAAAAACTCCACGGTGTTCATATAAACAACAAGTTCACCAACTTTTATAATTCTTTCCTCGCTATCCTTCAAATAATCAACATATTCCAGGTCTAATTTGGACATCGGTGGGACAGACGCACGTTTGACAACAGGTGCACTCTGCAGTGGTGTTCTCTTCTTCACTACTGGTGCTGGAGCAGCTGCAGCCACGGTAGATGTGGTTGTCGTCGTAGTAGTGGTAGCAGTAGAACCGGTGGCTTGAGATGCAGAACTTGGTGCACGAATGCGTTCTGCATGTGAAGGGGTAGTTGCTGAAGGCATCACTTCATTATGATTCTTTTCAATTTTGGCATCTTTGGCCTCGTTGTATGCCTTAAGTATCTCATTTGGTTGACGAGACAAAGCCAATGCAGCTGCACTTGCAGCACCTGTATATGCACTTACTGATCTCTTTGCTTGAGTCTGTTTACGTGCTGCAACAGTGGCTTTGGCCTTCATGAGAACCTGTTGGCTTTGAGTTGGTTGTAGCGGAGCTCTTTGCGCGTGTGCTGTAGACGAAGCTGTTGATGATTCTGTACTGATTACAGTCTCAGAGCTGGCCGTTGGTGTTGTTGAAGCTGAAACTGTACGCCTTGGAATGGTAATCTTTGTCTTTGGTGTTCCTGTGGTTAATTCAGGAACTGGTAACATCGATTTCGCAGACACTTTATAAGGACCAGCCTCTGGTTGTGGAGCATCCCAAATTGATTCCTGTGGGTTGTTAAAATCGATATCTGAAAAGAAAAAATGGTTTTGGATGGTCTTTATGGTGGCACGATCCTTTGGGTTCAAAACCAATATCTTCTTGATGAGGTCTCGAACAACCATTGGAAAGCCTGCTGTAAATGCGTATTGCAATTTAACAATCTTTTGGAATGTTAAGTACTCATTTGTAGCCTTGAAAGGTGGTTTTCCTGCAATCATTTGATAGATGATACATCCAAAAGCCCAAATATCACAAGGTTTGCCGACAGCCTTCTCATTTAGCAACTCTGGAGAAACGTATTCTGCAGTACCGACAAAAGATTTCGATCTTGCGTCTGGAGGATAGCGACCGTTGTCTCCCTTTTCCAGCAACTTTGCCGTTCCAAAATCCGTGATTTGAATCTTCATATCCTTATCAACCAGGATATTCTCCGGTTTCAAATCCCTATGAATAACACCGTTATCGTGCATGTACTTGATGGCGTCCAGTATCTGTGCACCGTAGTACCTTGTGCTATCCTCGTTCAAAGTTCCAAATTCCTTGATCAAGGACAAAAGCTCACCATTTGGTGCATAGTCCAAGACAAAGTACAAGCTTGATTCGTCCTGAAAGGTAAAGAATAGACGGACAATACCATTATGCACGCCTAAACGGTTCAATGTGTTCTTCTCAATGTTGACGTACTTCACTTTCTTCTCTCGGATGATGTGTCTCTTGTCCAGCACTTTCACAGCGAATTGGTTCGACGTGTTCTTGTCGGTGGCCAGCAGCACCGTGGAATAGGACCCCACGCCCAACGTCTTACCAAATTTGAAATCCTTGACGCTCTTCCTGATAACCAGCTCCTCGGAGGTACCGTTATCATTGACCACTTTCTTCACGTACGTGGCTGCTCCCTGAGAATCCCAAGACTCTCTCTTCGTTATGCCTGTGGTTGCCTCTGCAATGGCTGCCGTGGTGGTTTCCTTCTCGAGCTCACCAATGTTATCATCAATTGACAGCACTTGGTGCAACTGAGACGGCTTTAGAGGACTGGAGGATATCAGAGATTCATCCGTGCCATTCAACTGGTTCAGCACCAAGTTAGTCGCCGTCAATGCCCTCAGTGGATGGTTCGGCCTCTCCGTGAAGGGAGTGCCCACCGGTGAAGATGGCTGTGAATGTGGACCGTTAGCAGCGTTACCCGCCATTGCTTTGCGCTTTGAAGAGTACGGCGGTAGGAGGAACCCAGCGCTGTCCTCGTCATATTCCCCGACGTGTTTTACAACCCCTTCCTCAACGCCATTCACGTTGCCCTCGTAGCCATAGGAAGGCTCCTCAAGCGTGTAGACTGAACTCATGTCCGCTTCTTCTTCATCTCCCGGAGACACAAAGGTGAAATCGTCTGGATTGGGTGTCCGCGGATGCGAACCATGCTCGTGAGACATTGTTTTCAACTTCTTCGTTTATGGTACGGTTCGTCTACCCAGTGGCTGTGGACCCGTTCTCCAGTCTTTTGTTGTGGTTTGCTTGTTTGTTTGTTTGTTTGTTTGTGGGAAGTGGGATGTCCTGTTTGTCTTATTTTGGACTTATTTGTCCTCTCCCTATTTTTGACGGTTGTCCTGTCTGTCCCTATGGTTTTTGTTATTGTTTTTTCGCTATGGGGAAAGGAAGTCCTGCCAACGCCGATGCGTGTGTGTGTGTCCAAGAGGTTGAAATGTCCTCCCTCCCTCCCCGCCCAGCAGGCCTCCTCTAACCAAAGGGCTACGCGGGCGGCCCTCGCTAAAAATAATTCCGAGCGTGTACGTGTCGCGCAAGTAAATGCCCTCCCGCCCCTTAATCCCAATTGCTCTGCAAATTTTTGTCTCACGTTTGCACTGGAAATGTCCCCTTTGTCCTCTCCGCGAATTACAAGAGGTCCCCGAGCGGACAAGAGACAAAAGTCCGGGAAAAAAGCGAGTCTAAAAAACAGAGACATCAACAGAAGCTCTCTTGTTGGACGCCAGACAGACACCACAACCATAGACCGAGACACAATGGCCCGCACTTTCTATGAGGACGAGGAATCCGTCACGCCCCTGCCGGGCACAACCATTGCCGCCAGTGAATCCGAGCTCAAGGCCCTAGGCCCAAACACAATCATCAACGGAACCTCCATCCGTTCACCATCCTTCATCCAATCAAAGATCGAGTCTGCCAGAGGACAGATCAACTCCGCCTACGACCAGACAACCAAGTCCCTCGATGACGTTACCGCTGCCTACCACGCAAAGGAAGAGCACTTCACCACAACGCTTGCGAACCTGCACAACAAGAGCGAAGACGTGCTGTCGAGTGCTCAGTACATCGCCGTTGCCGGGCTGTTTGGCCTCATCGTGACGAGACGTTCAAACGTCCTGTTGAAGACCGTCACGCCCTTGGTGCTCTCTCTGTGCGCCTTCAAGCTGTTCATGCCGGGCACCTGGAACAACACCCTTGGCTTTGCCCACGACATTGAGAAGAAGAAGTTCCCACAGCTGGCGGTGAAGCAGGAGAACCTCATAAACCACACAAACTCGCTGATATCAGACACTGAGACTAAGACCATCGACGTGCAAAAGTCCGTCGAGTCCCAGTGGAAGGCGCTCGCAGACTCCTTCAAGAAGCTCACTGGGCTGAGAATCGGTGAAGATGCCACCAAGAAGTGACCCTGTCCTTCCTCCCCACCTAGGTAAATACGCGTATACTTATATTATGACGAACATTCTTGTCCCATCAACACGTCTTTACCCTCTTCCTGCCCATGCCTTGGCCACGTGATCATGGTGATCATGGTGACCATGGTGATCATGGTGACCATGGCGAGCACGCTGTCTTTGTGGCACGCTCACCTGCTTGCCGCCAGGATGACACAAAAGGATGACACAAAAGGAAGGAGGGGGTGAAGTCCATTTCCGCTTTGTAAACAAGCCTCAGCCGCTGAACTTGTACTGGCAGCCAATATTGGATGGCCAGTCGAAGAGATGGCGTATAATCCAGCACTGTCCTCGTCATGTGCCTTCACAGGCTCGAGTCCCGTGAAGCCGCAAGCTCTGTACGCCGCCAGTGGGATCTCCACCCGTGACTCGGTGGACTTGGACGTGGTGAACTTGCCTGGCTCCTCTGGGACTCGGATAGAGAACGATAGCGAGGAGGCGGGCACAGGGTCCATCTCAGGGTTGGTGACGAGGCCCGCGTCGTCAACGAGGTATGAGGTGTACTCGCAACTATCACAGGCCAGAGGCAGCCTGCTAGGGACCCCGCTAGGCTCGATCCTTGGAAGGCTACAGGGCAACCAGCAGGCCACCTCGTACACGTTGGATCAGAAGTTCTCCAAGTTGGTGAAGATGGAGAAGAAAGTGATGAAGCTGCAGCAGGAGGTGATCAGGGACATCAACTCGTGGTGCAACGTGCTCCACGACGACGAGTGCAAGAGGTTGTTGTACCACTTGATCAAGTTGTTGGAGGCCGAGTACGATGTGGGTGAGCAGAGCGTTAAGAAACAGGGCCAGATCATGGCTCAGTTGCAAAACGTGAATAAGAGGGAGAAGAGGACGAACGAGTTGAAGTACAAGAGAAACAAGGTGCTTGCAAAGCTCCGGGAGATTGAGAACAAGGTTGGTGATAGTCCAACCACCTTGTTGACCAGGGAGAACTTGGAGGAGTTGGAGTGTTCTGTGGAGATTGTGGAGGACCAGTTGATTAGAAGCATCAACAATGGGTTGAAGAACTCGTTTGTGGATTACCTGACCATGCTCAGGAGCACTGGCGCCAGATACAGAGACGTTGGAGGGTACTTCTTGGACAACTACAGCTTTAGCACCAGGAACGAGAACTCCATGCCTAGCCTCCAGAGATTGATATTGCAGAACAAGTACTCCAATGGCGTTCCATCGAATGCACAGTCACCCGTGTCGAGAGAGTTGACCACGTCTCTGAGCTATCAGGAGAACTACATTGCCCTATCACCCAACCATGTTGGCAAGTATTTGGATAATGTCTATGAAGAAGCTGAGTCGAATCTTACAGCGCCAGCACGTCAAGAGCATGACGGAGTCGTGAAGAAGAGAGGACAGCAGCAATCCAGTTCCAAGGCTCGGTCTGGGCCTCCTCCCACGCCTGATGATTCAACACCGTTAACGGTTCCTCTGACGTCTGGAATAAGCAGTGCTAATGAGCACGCATTCAGTAGCATACTCAACTCTTACAGTACACCTGGTGGGCTAGGCACCAGTCATACAACACCAGGGGTTCTAAGACCACCACCTAGTCAGCACAACCATGAATGGATCACATAATATTAGTAAATGGCTATTCTATGTATGTGTTTATATACAGTGCGTGTGTGTTTGTATGTGTATCGATTCATTCCTGTTGGCGATGCAAGTTGTAAGAATAGCTCATGATGATGATGAGAAGAACTTCTTACCCAGTTCGTAGCTTGAAATCATGATGGCACATGAAGGAGCAACCTTTAAGAGACGAGGTATCAGCCCAACGTAGAGCGCACCTACACCTTCGTACTTGACGATATCCGACATGAACTTGGCCAGCTTCTTCTCTTTGAACCCTGTGGACTTCGATTCGCTGGAGATTTGAAGCCTTGTCTTGCCAACATCGAACGGATTTGTAGCAAACGCAGCGATGCTTCCACTGATGCTCCCACTGATGAAGGAGTGAAGGAACAGATTGGTGTCGTTACTCTGTGTGAAATGCCAACTTGGGTTCGATGCAAGCATATGTTTGAAATACTCATAGGAGGACCAGTAGATTCCACTGAACGGCACGTCCCTCCATAGCGTCAGTGCCAGTCCCCTGAATAGCACTCTGGGGCCCTTCTTGGCCACATCGATACGTAGATCATCAACCAACGATGCCAACTTCCTCTCTGCGCTGGGGATGCTCTGTAATCTGGTCTTCAACAGCTCCAGTGGTGCTATACACGTCCCTGCTATCGACCTGGCGATGGACCCACAGAGCAACGGGTTCAGCCATGTCATATGAGCAATAGGCGAGGAATCTCTCAGCAGCTCGTAGCCTGTAAAGTAGATGATGTTTGCCGGCGCAGCCATCAACAGCGTCAGCGATAGGCCACGCCACAAGGTGGCAAACCCTTCGTTTCTGCCAATGGTGAAGAGCGCCGATACAGTCCCACCTAACGGCTTTGTTGAGCAGGGAACCTCTGTGGTCGCACACGAAGCCACAGGATTTGAAGCATTGGGGTGTTTCCAGAACACTTCTCGACGACAACAATCAACAGGTGGGGCCAACAGCACCTGCTGCTGTAATCGTATCCTTACAACGTCGAAGGGAGTGACCAATAACGACGTCAGCACTGAGCCCGAGCAGGCCGAGAGCATTCTTTGTGTCAACGTGATGGGATCATCACCTTGTGGGACTAGGACATTAGGCCTCTTGTCTGGAGAAAGGTCTTGCTCTTCGATAGCTGCAGCCAGTTCAGAAGAGAGGGACATTTTCTGCTGTTGTCTCTTTCCCTTTGTCTTGTCTGTTCAGCCTATGGGGTTTGTCTTTTTTTCTCTCTATGGCCAAGTCTTGTCCCCTTAGTTCGCTGTTATTGCAGACGATGTACTGTTTTTGAGATGCCTATAAGCTTTGTATTGATTTGTCCCGCTTCTTCTTAATGTTTGTCGTTTTTTTTCTAACCCGATCGTTGTGTTTTTCTTTCCCAAAATGAAAGTTTTTTCGCAATTTGACGTACATCTCGGATAAACAATCTGTGTTCCAACTAATGCTCAGTTTTCTATATTGGTTTATTTATTTTTTTGTTTTTATTTTATTCTCCATTTATATATTCCAGTCTTCATTTATATATACCGGTGTTCATTTCTTCATCCATCAACTACCATACACCTGTCCAATTTGATTTATATTTACCTATTCGTTTGACTCACACAGGTGCGCCATGAGCTCAAGGGTCCCTGCAAAGCTGTACAGAAGTGCCATATACGCCTCCCAGTTTGTCCTTTCAGTGGAGAACGTTGATCGCATATCGGAGTCGTTGCCAAAGCTGCTGTCCAGTCTCAACATAACCAATGAATCGCTGCGCATAAATATCATCGAATCCACACGGAACTTCATCAATGACTTCCGGTTCCTCTATGCCACCCTTACGGAGCAGGCACAGATCAACACAAGAACTTCCAGGCTGTTCATACGCCATTTCGTTGTTATCTTTGGTGTTTTGGCATCAGGGGTTGCGTACAGGAAGTTATTCACGCATTGGAGAACTCCCTTGAAGTCTGCTGTGACGTTGGCGGAGCTGAAGCCGTCTGCGCTCTCTGCCACATCAGTGTCGTTGCTGTTGACAACCTTGCCGCTGTTCAGATCACAGGTGAAGAACGATACGCTGAGCTCGCTGCTTCACTCGCTCGTGTCCTTGTCAATCCTTCCAGAAGGGTACCCTAAGGATTATGCCACGGTCTACACTGCTGTCCAAAGCATTGATCAACAGTTGAGACCATTGGGATTGGGGCGCTACTACTGGCTACTGCTTCCGCTGTCCTTCTCTGAAATCGTCAAGCTATTGACGGTGTCCCCTGATTACGTCCCAAACCTGTACAAGAAGGTGCTCGGGTATCTCTACTCAGGGTTTGTTGAAAAGAAGCCAATATACTACTTGCAAGATTGGCCTAAACCTCTAGAGTTCTTTGTCAACCTACACCAAGCAACAAGGGTGAACAAGACTTTGCTCTACAGAGAAATCACATTGACAAACGTCAATCCATCCCATACAAACGCAAAGCTCAGCGTTCTCAATCCTTCAAATGCAAGTTTGAAGAACATTCTACTGACCAAATCACCACGGAAGTTGGCAGAGCTACTCGTCATAACCCTTCCTGTCTTCACCCTGATCAATTATCTGAAGTCTAAATGGTCGAACGATCCGGAGGAGAAGTTCGAATGGAGGGCAACGCTACAAAAGAGTTTGAAGTCTTCTTTCAAGCTCTCCCTCACGACTCTGCTGACCATCATCACCTCATATTCACTTCTTATCACCAAATTGCCAACCCGTCTAAATGGATTCATCTCTGGGTTATGGTTTTACATCTACAGGGATACAATGTCGCCTTATTTTGCTACGCTTGTCGCAAGAATCGCCCTATTGGCTACGTTCAGACAGCATAGAGATAGGTTGGCTAAACACGGCTACTGGGGATCACTGGCTGGATCCTCCAGTGCCACTGTTGTCGGTGCCCTGAGTCTTCTGAAGTTGTACAAGTTGGATTCCAACAACCAGCTTTTCGGAAGAATGTGGCAATACGTTCAATATATCAAACGTGGAGGTGAACAGCATTGAGCTGTCCCATTTGTGTGTTTTTTCCTTCTTTATATGATCACACTACCACTATTTAATAAATATTATGGTCTAAATGCCCTTCTTTCCTTGGGCTTTCCCTACTCTGCTGATTATAGCATCGCTCCCGTGACTGAGGTGATGAGCTCTTCGATCCACTTCACACAATTCACACTTAATGGCCTCACTATCTGTCCCCTCAACGTAGTTCAACTTCCAGACGCTCGTTAGAGTGATACCAGAATGGAAGCTGGCGGTACAAAAGCTCACTCACTAGCTGTAGGCTACAATAATCTGGCTATCGTATAACAAGCTGTGTGGACTAATTCTGTATATACAAAGCTAACCGTGGTTACACAAAGGTAACTACGGTTACCCAGCAGTAACTATAGAAACGCACCAATCATGAGTTAGAGTTACATACAAGATGAATACACAAAAGTAACTGTGGTTACACAAAGGCTCATTATCCGCAGATTATAAGTAAAGGTCCTCGCTGTTTGGAAGTTGTAACCCAGAACCATCATCTTTTCATCACAACACTTTCCGATTCAGAAGAGACTGTCTGG